AGCGCAACTGCGATGAATGAAAGATGAATGAGTACCTGGTAATTATTATCTCCATAGGATTTCAGACAGAACTTTATTGTGGGATGATGATGATGATGATAATGATAATGACGTGATTGGGATGATGATGGTGATGATTTTTGGATATTGATGATGATATATTTGTGGCGGTGATGATGATGATATGGTGGTGACGATGATGATGATTATGATGTGATTTAGGTGATGAGGAATATTCTCTGATGATGGTGATGCTATTGTAATGATGGTGATGATGATGATTTTGGGATAATGATGATGATGATCTATTTGTAATGATAGTGATGAGGATGATTTTGGAATAATGATGATGATGATCTATTTGTAATGATGACGATGATGATGATTTTGGGATAATGATGATGATCTATTTGTGATGGTGGTGATGATGATGGTGGTGACGTGATTGAGCTGATGATTTCGCGATGATGACGTCAGCGACGATGATGACGATGATAGTTTGGTGATAATGTAACTTTGATATGATACAAAAGCCATGATATGATTACATGACTGCGTGACATCGAATGAATGTAGCACAGTGGCTTACAATTACGAACTGCCAATCAGTCAGTATGCGAGCACTGTGTTGTATTCATTCTCTACTGTTTAACAATAACCTTATTATCGTTTCAAAGAAAAATTTGTCAGGTACACAAAAATGGTTAATTTCGCATGATTAATTATTTATTTATGATCAAATCATTGCTGTAGTTGTGTTGGATTTAGTGCTTGCTATTGAGAAGTTTCAAACTTGAATTCAAAAAATTTATGAAAATATGTATATTGTAGATTAATCTTTGAAAATTTTTTATTTTATGTGATAGATACAATTTTTCTATTATAGTTTTATTCAATCGATTATTTGGTAAAATTGAAATTGAAATTAACGGTAGCAGATTGCATTGGAATGATAAAACGGAGTTTTCGGCCTATGGAAGGAATTTTTAATGTGATGTTGTTTGTTCACATAGTATCGCTTAATGTATAAAATTGTTAAACAATATTCAAAATTTTGTGTGTAACAGATAACTAGATATATATATCTATATATATATATATATATATATATATATATATATATATATATATATATATATATATATATATATATATATATATATATATATATATATATATATATATATATATATATATATATATATTATATATATATATAATATATATAATATATCCTATCCTAACCTATCATATTTACAATTTCGAAGTCAACTTAAAACTTATTTATTTGCGTCCGTCTTATTTGTCTATGATTTAGTAGCGCTTTTGAGATTCAACAATAAAAAAGCGCTGTATATAAATTTCCATAATAATAATAATAATAATATTGTGTGTGTGTGTGTTTGTGTGTGTGTGTGTGTGTGTGTCGGTGTACTTCTGAAGATGAAGCAATTTCCAGTTTCGATTACACGAAGCACAAACCTGTGTCTGGAAGTAAAAAACAAATAGAAACACACGTTGATCGATCGATTGGATTTCTGCAAGATTCACCAAGCGCAATTTTTCGTTTGAACAATGTGGACCGTTAGAGGTGTTCATAAGTAATTAATTAACAGCATTTATGTTATGATGTGTTATTATTATTATTATTATTATTATCATCGTGGCTGGTGTTATTGTTATTATTATGCTCGCTTGTTTCAGGCTTTTTCCCAAAACCCTTGCCTGTTTCAAAAGATATCTGTCAAAAAAGCCAAGGCTATCTTACGAGTAAGAACAAAAAAGCCTTCAGCTCTCCAACAAAATCCGCTATGGCTAAGTCCAGGCTACCTAAAAAAATGCGGAAAATCATTTCAAAACTTGGACCAACAACAGCAAAACTTGGTTTGCCAGCAACCAGACTCGCTGAGGGACTTATGAAGAATTCTTCATTTCTTCATAAGTCAGAACGCAATGCGCGTGCACAGTGATGCGACAAAACTGGTTTCGAGGTGCAATTAAATAGAACGGAGCTCTGCCATTAAAAAGGTTGAGGACAAAGATATTTTATTTTTTAGTATTTCGTTGGAGTAAAATTAAATTGATCTCAAACTATGTATGCATCCCGGGTTTGTTTAGTGATTTCATGTTACTTACCAAAAATATGAAATATAAAGTAATGAATAAAAGTAATCGAGAAATAATTTATCCATAATAATAGAAACACTACAAAATGATTAACAACTTATCAGTGATAGCGTATTGACATTATTCTATTCATGACTGTTGTTATTTCATTATCTTTCCTGTCCCTAACTTTACCTCCACCCAGCGGCGGATCTAGACAACTTTTACGGGGGGCCAATAATTTTAAAATGTTCCAGTTTTCACGGGGGAGGGCAAGATTTGTGGTAGTGTGGCTGACGTCCAACCTTTGTTTCGCTTACCATGTTCACATAAAACAGCCCCTTTTTCTGGTTTTTATTAAAAAAGCTGCTGACAACGGGGGCACCGGCTCCCCTAGATCCGCCACCTCCTCCCACCTATCACGTTTAAGAAATCCGAATCGTAAAATCCAGATAGCGCATGGTTGGACGAAATCGATTATAATGTTTAATCATTAGCCACAGAAGGCTACAAAATTTGGCAAATACAACAAAAACATAGAATACTCGAGGCAGCGCATATTGATATCAAATCTTAATGTTAAGTTGTGGTGTTTTTTTTCAAATTTGAAATATGGCTCATCCATAAAATAACTGGGGCAATATTATTACAAATTAATTATTCTAATTTTTATTTTATTGTAATTAAATGTTTAATTTTGTACGTTTTTAATTATTTTATTTTCCCCGGTGACCGAAAATAAACTGCTTATATAAATTCTAAACAAAGTTATTTTATTCGACAGAGTTGTAATTGAACTTTTAAGAAATGTAACATTAAAAAATTATAGACTAATTAGAATCTAATTATTAGATAATCATACAGACAGAGATATACGTATAAATAAGCACACACACACACACAAACACACACACACAAACACATACATACATACATACATTCATACATACACACATACATACATACATACATACATACATACATACACACAAACACATACATACATACATACATACATACATACACACACATACATACATACATACATACACACACACATACATACATACATACATACACACACATACATACATACATACATACATACACACACATACATACATACATACATACATACATACAAACACACACATACATACATACATACATACACAACACACCTAAACTTTTTAAATTGTTCTTTAACTTTAAATTTAACGATTTCGTTATTGACTTGGCTTTAATGAGATTATCCATACGCGTTAAATTTGCAATTCAAAGCACACAGCGCTCGGTTATGAAATTATTTCTCATTATTACATTAAAGGATATAATGTTTATAATATTATTTCATATTTTTAATAGTTTTTGATATTTTTCAAAAAGACGCTTTTTAATATTTTTTGTTATTGTTGTGCTAGTTTTTATCGGCAAGCATTTTTATCGGTAATAAGAAATCAGCTTTTTTTCCGTAAAAATCATTTAATTTTTATTGTTATATAATTTTTCAAATGTCGGTGTGTTGAATTTTGAACGTTGGTTATATGCAATGCTCCTTTGGTCATATTTCAGTTGATTCAGAAATTGTCCATAAAAATCTATAGAATATAGAATTTCCTATTTAACAAAAAGAGTGAAGCTTTTGGCGTCATTGGTGAAGAATGGTCTATATTTTGTTGATAACTACACAAATTAAATTAATTTCAACCAGTTTATTTTATTTTCCTCTAACTTAAATTCCAGGTGATTGTCCGAATCTTTACCTTCTGTAATGCAATGAGATGGCGTTTTATTTCTAAGTCGTAATCACCATTTTGAATTTTGTAGCAGCTTAGAATTCGCTTGTTGATATCATTTAGGTCGTCGGATGTGTTATTTTCAGTGTTGTTGATGCTTCTGTTGTTCATGTTGTTGATGTTACTCTATTCATATTTCTATAATTTATCTCATCCTTGAATGTTATTAACGTACCTGAATTATTTAATTCATATTCATGCACTTAATAATGTGCATGATATGTTTTACACATTTATTATTAAACTTGTTGTTGGTCTTGATACAAAATGGGTAATGGCCGTTCCTGTGCGACCATTCACGTCACGTGTAGTACTTGTTGCTGACATTTCAGTCTGATGGATGATGCAAATTAGGGGCTGTTTTAACGTTTTTTTGACCCCCCCCATCACCCTCGTCAAAAAGTGTCACAAATATTTAGACCCGCTCCCCCCTTGAAGCGTGATATCCTTTATGGACGGCCTCTTATCTCCTTATTGACACTTGAGTGATGAGGAGTTCATTGGAAGCCATTTATTTATCTCTTTAGTTTACACGCAATAAATGTTATTTATTTGTGAATATTCCTTCTTATTTTGGATTGTATTTAGGTTAAATTTTTTATGATGGATTTATTTATTTTGTTATAGTTATTTTATAGATTTTATTATTCTTATTGTTATTAGTAATAGTAGTAGTAGTAGTAGTAGTAGTAGTAGTAGTAGTAGTAGTAGTAGTAGTAGTAGTAGTAGTTGTTGTTGTTGTTGTAGTAGTAGTAGCAGCAGTAGTAGTAGTAGTAGCAGCAGCAGTAGTAGTAGTAGTAGTAGTAGTAGCAGTTGTAGTAGTAGTAGTTATAATAGAAGTAGTAGTAGTAGTAGAGAAGTAGTAGTATTGTTATAATAATTTACAAATATTATTATTGTTAATATATAATATTAGTAGTATTGTTGGGATAAAATAATTATAGTAATAATAATAATAATAATTATTATTATTATTTTGAAACTTCCAGGTGACACCGTGTTGATAGGAGTGGATGGAAGCAGAGCCGCTGACGAGGCAATCATTTGTAAGTTCCGGTATTATAGGATTAGTTTGTTTGTTGGTTAGTCTGAGGATTTGTTTGTTTGTTTGTCAGTTTGTCTGTCTGTCTGTTTGTCTGTCTATCTGCTTGTTTGTCTGTTTTATTTTTGTTGTTTATGGCTTTGGTTAGTTTCGATAGAGTTTTGTTGTTGATTGATATGTATTTATTGGTTATTGTTGTCGTTGTAGATGGGTGGTGTGGCCACTGTTGTTGTTGTTATGAAGTTTGATTTTGTTGATATGGTTGTTGTTGTGGTTGTTTGTGAGTTTTTTTTGTCTTGTTTGTCTTGTTGTTACTGTTTATGTGAATGCTTCTTGGATATCTTCAAAGATGGGATGTTAAACGTCCGTTTTGATTTTTGTTCAAGGGTCTGTTCGTTCTTAGTTGATGTTAAACTTAATTTGTTTCATTGGTTGTAGTTGGATGTTGTGCAGCTTCAGTTCAGAAAAATTTTATTTCAAATGTTTTATAAGGCAGATTTTTGTAGTTCACATTTTTGCAAATTGACACTATGGCTACTTTTCAGCAAAAATTTTGTTTGCTTGTTTGATGTTTTTATATATTTAATTGTATATTTATTTCATTTTGTTGGCCCCTTAAAACAATTAGATCGTTGATGTGTTAGACAAATATTTTGAAGTTCACTCTGATGTATTTTATGTCGCTAATTTCTGGTTGTTATTCAGAAAATCGTAAAGACGGTAATTTTTTCACTTTTTTACACGTCATCAACGTACAAACTGTTAATAACATACATACATACAAACATACATACATACATACATACATACATACATACATACTTACATACATACATACATACATACATACACACACACACACACTCACACACATTCAACTACCAAATCAGGGTACCTGGAAAACCTGCATAGAGATAACAACCTTCTTATTTTGGTGCATGCCCTAGAAAGTTCCACCGGTCCAACACGAGACAGTTGGTGGTGGGGTTCGGTCGAATGGTTTTAGAGTTGTGAAACTCTGCAAGATTCGTCATTGTTGTTTGGTGTCGCTGGGCCAGTTGCTTTGGAAAATTTTATATTTCCAGTTTAATTGTTTAAATGTATTTTTTGAAGACACGTTTTAAGTTTGGTTGTGGAAAAAGGTCAAAATCTTTTAAAAAATTTTTTTTTTCGCAAAATATTCCAATTTTTACAAAAAAATGTTTCATCACAAATTGTTTTCAATCATCATTATTATTACCAACCGCCCATTCACTGCCAACATTCCACCCCTTACAGCCTGGGAGTCCCAAGTACAAATTGGGAAGAGGAAACAGGAAGAGCTTCAGGAACGTTACATCTCGAGATTCAAGGAGTGGGGGGTGGGTCGATTTGGTTGTTTGTCTGGCTAGCTGTCTGATTGGCTGTCTGGTTAAATTTCACACACCACAACACACAAACATTACACATCACAACACACAAACACACCACAGATATCAGGTCGCTTTCTTTCGGACATCGAGAAGCCTGCTGAATTCCTCATCTCATCTGCCAAGAAGAAGAAGGCCACTTACCTCGTCATGGGTTCCAGAGGAATGGGAAGAATGAGGTATGCTGACTGGGTCCAGTTGGAACAATCCTAAAATCCAATTCAACTATCAAGCACTTTATAAACTCAAGATACTATTTTAAAAATTCCATCACACACACACACACGCACGCACACTCAAAAACCCTGCCACACACACACACACGCACACAAACACACGCACACAAACACACACACGAACACAAACACACACAAACACTCGAAAACATTCCTACAGTCACAGACGCACTATCATCGGAAGCGTGAGTGACTACGTACTGCACCATTCTGACTGCCCTGTCATCGTGGCGAGAACCTGACTATGTAGGGAAGCCAAGAGGAGGCGGGTCAGACCACTGGCCCCTAAAAACAACATCAATAACAACAATAGTAACAATAACAACAAAAAAAATAATAACAATAAAAATAATAATAATTTTTATAAAAATACAAATAACATAGAAAACGATGTTAATATTGATAAGGATCTAAATGATTTGGGTGATGCCTTCATAAATGTTATCAACATAAATCCCAATTGTGAAATTTTTAAGGAAAAAACCAATAACAAAAACAACAATAACAACAATAACAAAAACAACAATAACAACAATAACAAAAACAACAATAACAAAAACAACAATAACAAAATTAACAATAACAACAATAATAATAATAACAATAATAATGATGATGATGACGACGATAAATGTGATGATGATGAGTTGGTTGGCGCGTGTGATGATGATAATTATTACCGAAGTAATTACTATCATTATCTCAAAACTGATAACAACGTTGATGATGATGATGATGAAGGTGGTGACGGTTATGATGATGATGATGATGATGACGACGACGGTTATGATGATGATTTTTACGATAAGGAAGCGGCCACTGTGGAAAGCATCAACGATAAAATAACTAACAAAAACACCGACAACTGCGTTAAAGATGATGCCGAAAATATCACCATGCAAAATGATGACGACGATTGTTCTGACTGCACCAAAGTTGAAAGTGATGTCGCCAGTAACAGAGCTTCCGACGACCACTTTTGTGGCGACGCTAATATTAGTGGCTACCGGATGAGAAATATCGAGGGAGATGTTGATAGCATGGATGATGATGATGGTGGTGGTGGCTCGATTCATGCAAATGTTGAAAGGTGTGCTGACGATGAAGTGATTTGTTGTTGTCAAATCGTTAATTTTGATGAAAAAAGTGTTGAAATTAACTACAAAAACATAAACGGCAACAACAAACCCATCAACAACATCAACAACAACCACAACAATAATAATAATAATAAAATCAACAACAACATCAACAACAACCACAACAATAATAATAATAATAAAATCAACAACAACAACATCATCATTATCAACAAAAACAACGACACTGACTATTATAACACAAACGTTTTGAATGATGTGGTTAAGGACAAAAACAAAACTAAAAATCTGAACCTTGGAAACAGCACTTCTTCGCCTAACGACAACATGTTCAACAACAAAATCGCCAGCTACTCTACAGCTGCATCAAACGTGACAGCCACAACAACCGCGGCCGCCAAAAACGTTGACCACAATAACATTAACAGCAGTAACAGCAACTACATCAACATCGGCAACAAAAAAATTACCTTCAACAAAAACAACAATTTCAACAACAACAACTTCAACAACAGCAACACCCTAGCAACGTTAATGTCAGCAGCAACAACAACTTCAACCACAACGACAGTAACGTCAGCAAGAAGCAGCGTCAACAGCGGCAAAAACGCCATCAACAACTACAACAACTACTACATCAACAACACCTTTGACATCAAATCCAACAACAACATCATCAACAACAACTACTACTACCACAACTACGAATACATGAGAGACAACTCAACGCTGATGTTCTGCGCCAGAATCAGTCCCTTCGTCTTCCTCCTCTGGAGATTGTACATGGCCTCTGACCTTGGCACCTCATCTTTTCATTACTTCACGGCCGTATTTTGCGTTGTGCTTGCAGTGTACTGCAGAGTCATCGGACTCGTTTAGGCCCTCACATCTACAAAAAATGTCCTTTGACTCTCAGAAAGTATGCAGATTTCATTTAGCAAGACATGGTGATCTCAACTGTGTTTTCTCATTTTCGTACCTCCTTGGCTCAACCATATGTTTAAATGGATGAGTGTTTCGGCTCGGAAGATATACAAAACAAAATATAAGTAACACCGATATAAACATTTCTTTTTTGGATTACACACATTCACGCACACACACGCACCATAATACACACACACACCAACACAACCCACACACACACAAACATACACATTGATGTACTTATCTATCATCCAAATATAAAATATGAATATGTTTATAAGCGTACACACAGAGTTACTACTGCATGGAACTCTTTGAACAATTTAGCCAGCCCCTTACATATATATATAACATGAATATACTGACTTTAAAATATGTTTTGACTCCACCGACCAGTAAAAATTTCAATGCGATGAGTGATTATTACAAGTTCATTCATTCAATATTCTCATTATAAGCGAACGTTGAATTGTTGTTCATTTGTTAATTATGTGCAGTTAACATTTAAACGCTGTAAACCATATATGAGACATAGCTGGATGGAATGTGTCACTTTGATAAAAATGACAATTTTTTAAAACATTTTTTACAAACCGTTTTAATACGTATTTAATACGCGAGAAATTTCAAATTTGTATAATGCATCAAGATATACATTAAAGATATCTCCTAGATATTTCTAATGTATGTTATTTTATTCGCCACAAAGTGTAGGATATATATCTTATTATTAATTTTAATTATCGCGATTCCAGTTTAATTTTTATTCATGTACTAATTTTAGTTAAATATTTTCCTTTTAATCGATAATCCATTTTGAATTTTATTCTTTACTATTGATATCTTACTTACGCACGTTTCAAGGCGTATTCTTTTAATTTTGTACGAAAAGTTGAGAATCACACACACACACACACACACACACGCACACACACACACAAACGCATTGGTTTTTGCTTTAATAATGCTCGATCGCTTCTTCAACTTATTAAATATTTCAATCAACAAACTTGTATTATTTTCATAGAACATTATTTCGAAATAATCATAAAACATAAAAGAAATCACGAAAAGTTCATCCAGTGCAATCATCGTCTATACAAATATATGCGTATGGTTTTAATGTATTTAACGATTAAATATTTGCTGTACTAACCTGGACTCTCACAAACACTAATAAATACTTCATTGAATTATAGATTTTGCTAAAATAATTTATTTTAAACGTTTAAAGTCTATTTAGAACTTCTGGCGAAAAACGACCAAATTATTAAAAAATTGTTCACCAAAAGCGTAATTTCAAATTTTTTAAATTTCAACGAGCCACATTTTCCACCGGCGATCATCTGCCTCTCTTGATTCCTTCTTCAAATTCAAGGACAGAATTTCATTTTACAGAAATTCCATTTGAGTCAGTCAATCAACAAAAAATCCTCACTAAACAAATAATTCAATTTCCGTTCAGACATTAAAATTGTGACCGATTTTTCTTATCAGATGTAAGCTTTAATTCATTGGCCTGTCATATTTGTAAATAACGAATAACTTTATCTCTTGCTAAGATGTCCAGTCCATGTTTATGAACATTCTCGTCCGTGTGTGTGTAAATTCTCAGTAAAAAAAAAGTCAGGTGCCGGTTGGGGTTTCCAATAAAAAATACGTCACCACGCAATGATGCTGTCCACTGGTAGGTAGCGTAAGAAGCTGCGATAGTGCCGATCAATAAAAAAAACAACCTCTCGACTGGCGATAGAGACGAAGCTTCGATTTTGAATGACAGTCATTCGAGTACAACTACTGACCTTGTTGAAGCCATCGTGGTGAAGTTGATGGTTGATATGGAAGAGGAGTCTTCCTCTGAAGTTTCTATAAATCTTGCGTGCAAGATACGTTACGACCGACAACAAATTCAGGATAATAATAATAATAATAATAATAATAATAATAAGGATGACGATGATGACAATGAATGTGAGGATGTTAAACACGAGTTGGCTGGCGCGTGTGATTATGAAAATTATTATTACCGAACAAATTCAGGATCATACAATGCAAATAACCTTTATTGATTTTCAAATTATGAAACATCAAACAAAATTAACAAAAATAAGTCAGTTAGTCAGAGCAGTTCGGGGTTAACAAAAGTTTATAAAAATGATTTAAACTGAGAAATAAAATCATACCAAGCACTTAACAAATAATCTACATGACAAACCAAATAAACCATCAGCTCAGCACACGAAGTAACGACAATGTGGCTGTTTTAATAATGCACCAATGTTTATACTAGTTTAGACTATTCCTGGTGAAACTAATACAAATATTATTAAAAACAGTTAACATTTACAATATTACTAACATTAATAAATAATCATAATAAATATATTGACCTTAATTAAAATACTTGAGATTTAAAAAGTAATAATAATAATGATGATATTTGTGATGGATTTTTATATATTCTGGCATGGCAATCATGGGTTTCACACGAATTTATAATGGTCAACGTTTCCCTACTGAGTGACCACTCACTGTTCTTCTAACGAATTCAAGTTGACGGTCTTTAGAAGAGTGCACCACACCAAGCATCAAATATTTACTTACATGAAACGCATGCAACTCTGTTGGACTATCGTCGCAATCGAACCCGGGAAGTGAGCAACTGATTATTAAGGTAACAAACCGCACGAGAGATAGATCCGGTATCTTAACCAGCTGAGCCAAATTAGCAAGAGGTATAAACAAATATGTATGAGTGAATTGATGAAAGGACATCAGTAAACTGAGAAACGGATGAATGAATGAATGAATGAATGAATGAATGAATGAATGAATGAATGAATGAATGAATGAATGAATGAATGAATGAATGAATGAGCAAATAAGTAGATAAATAAATAAATCAACATCTAACTACATAGAGAAATGTGAATGTATGTTCGTTAGAATACCTTAGAGGATGATATAAAATGAACCAGTGGACTTGAACAGCACGGTTCATCTTCAAGCCAACAAACCATTCGAAACATCAATCAACGAAAAATTTTTTAACTGTCACAAACGACGAACAACCACAAAACAACATCACCATGAACATCATCACCAACAAGAACAACATCATCAACAACATCACCATCACCAACAAGAGCCACGTCATCACCATCATCAACAAGAGCACTCAATCATGGTGTGGGCAGGTTGTTGGGGGGCGTCGATGAAGAGTTGCTGGACGAGGAGGACATAGAAGGAATCCTCAAACGTGATTGGCTGTGCAGACGATGTGAGGCCAGTGTGGCCCCCTCGAATTCAGCAAGCAGTGGATGCTGAAGAATCTTCCTGGCGTCTGGTCTTTCGGTGGCTGTGTGGCTCAGTAGTGGTCTCACAAAGTCGAACTGTGGTGGTGTGTGGATGTGGTGGTGTGTGGATGTGGTGGTAGTATGGTGGTAGTGTGTGGCGGATTATGTAAGTGTTGATGCGGATGGTGGCCGTTCATTTTGATGATTAAAATAATAAGAATAATTCGAATAATGCCAACGACACAAACAAAACATCCACCATAAAATGATGACCATGAAACATGCACAACGAAAAAAATGGCAAGAATGCAACAATGGTGGCGATGAATACAACACACCAAACAACAAAAGATAAGATGAGAAGAACGCAAAAAGGCCCAACAACAACAACAGCAACAGCACAGCCCACCTCAGTGGGGTGTTGTTGCACGAAGAGGTCATGGAAATTGAGGTCTCTGGCAGCTTGCAGGGCCCTGACTCGCTCCATCTGCGTGCCGAACCTCTGACACATCTCGTAGAAGATGACACCGAGGGCGTAGATGTCCACTTTGTTGTCGTAGCCACCGCCTGTCGTCTGCGGTGGTTTGTGGTGGTCGGTGGTCTTAGTGGTTCGGTGGTCGTGGTGGTGGGTGGTCGTGGTGGTGGGTGGTCGTAGTGGTGGATGGTCGTGAGTGGCGGATGAAAAAACGATGATCTACTGGGTGACTATTGATGAAGATGGTGACATTAATTAGGGAATGATGTCACTAGGACACTGACGACAATGAAAATATTCATGGTAAAATGAAATGAAACAAATCACAGAGAAACAAATACAAAGCACGTCTCCCAGCAGCACAAGTTGAAAGCAATTTATAACGCTCAGAACCCATGGGGCACAACTTGCATGGCTTTTATAGCGTTATATTGAGTCAACATTGAATTTGTTATTAGCAATATCGTAAAACGAAAGCATAAGCAGACAGACGACAACTAGACCGCACCTGTTCCGGGCTCATGTAGAGCCTTGTTCCAACTTCGTTCGTGTGCTGCCTTGTATGTGCCCTACCCACTGCGCCCCCGCTCTCGTCACCGGAAACATCGTCGTCCCCGTATGTCCCCTCCACGAATGTAACCAAACCAAAGTCGCCAATCTTAACCGATCCGTCCATGGCGAAGAAAATGTTGGATGGCTGGGTGGAGGTGAATGAATGGAAGTGAATGGATGTGAATGAATGAATTGATGGATTAATAGATAAATAAATAAACAAGGTAGGTGGTCCACTGATGCAACCACCCACACATTATTCGACTCTTTCATGAACTAACCCTACATTTTCACAGCCATTTATTTATCCATCTAACCAGTCATTCTTTGACATCCATCCATTCATCTATGAATGTGTCATATTTCCCAACTACAAGCGTCATGCATCCACCAACGTATGCATCCATGCATCAACACATGCACCCATGCATCCATCTATCAACACATGCATCCATGCATCCATCTATCAACACATGCTTCCATGCATCCATCTATCAACACATGCATCCTTGCATCCATCTATCAACACATGCATCCATGCATCCATCTATCAACACATGCATCCTTGCATCCATCTATCAACACATGCATCCATGCATCCATCTATCAACACATGCATCCATGCATCCATCTATCAACACATGCATCCATGCATCCATCTATCAACACATGCATCCATGCATCCATCTATCAACACATGCATCCATGCATCCATCTATCTAACCTTCAAATCGCGGTGCATGAGACCTAGGTCATGCACATAGGAGATGGCACTGACCATCTGATGGAAGATGTCCAAGGTCAGATGGAGGTCAAAGGCAGATGTGCTTAACCAGGTCTGTAGGCTTTCCTGTTGGCAGAGCTGCATTTGGATGTACAAATATAATTTGCTGACTATGTTCTTGTTTCTGTTGTGACGATGCTTGCTTGTTTTACGCTTTTTGTGGTTGCGGCAATGAGTATCCGCCATGTTAAAGTTGTCACTCTTGTTGCTCTTGTTGTTGTTGATGTTGTTGCTGTTGTTGTTACTTTTCCTCTTCTTCAGACGACTGCAGGTGTTTCCAACGCTGTCACCCAATTCGACAACAACATCGGCATTTTTAGTTTCATTGTTGTTGTTGTTGTTGAGGTTGTTGTCGTTTGAATCCTCAAACACGATAGAGACGGAGTTGTCAGCGTTGTGGAGGACCTTTTTCGAGACGTTTCGTTTGCGGATTGAGTTGGTGTTAGACCTGTCGGCGAAAACAACCTGCAAGCTATCGTCATCGGAATTGTCCCCATCAGCATCATCACCCTCTCCTCCTCTACCTTCACCACCATCGTCATTATCACTCTCACCACTTCTACGTCCACCATCATCTCCACTATCATCTTCACTATCACCATTCTCATCATCTTCTTCTTCATCATCATCATCATCTTCATCCTCCTCCTCATCATCATCTTCTTCTTCTTCGTCATCTTCTTCTTCAGACAATGATGAAAACTGCACTTTGTGATGGTCACCACTTCTTGACAATCTTTCAACTTTTGACAACGGCATGAGTGTAGATGTTATCATCTGTTTACCGAGATGACCACCACCACCACAATTACCACCACCACCATCATCTTCTTCATCGCCATCACCATCTTTCATATTATTTACAAATTTCAAGTGACAGTTCTTGCAATGAGCAAGCGTGTGAGATGCTTCGGCTGGAATGACGTGTCTTTTGTGGTCAGCTGTTTCGCTCCTCACATCAGTACCATTCATTTTTTTATTATCGTTATTATTATTATCAATATTATTATTATTATTATTGTTGTTGTTATTATTATTATTATTAATGTTTGAAATGCTGTTATTTAATCTGCTAACATCATCATCATCATCCTCGTCATCATCATCATCATCAACAACAACATCGGCGGATGTGACGTCACGGTTAGTAGATTTGACGCGATTGGTCGATCTGCAGGAAGTGGAGATGTTAGGTAGGGATGTGCTGACAGACAGACCGGGAATGTACAACTTGTCCATTTCCTCTTGCCATCCGGCCGGCGGACACTCGAACCAACTCTGGTAGTACCTGGATGGTTGTTGAACATTCATTTGCTTGGTGATCAGATGGATGGTGTGGGTTGCATGTTAAAAGCTTGCTGGATCAATTCGTGTTGAACATCCAGTAAGGCTCAAACCGTACCTACGCTCGTTGTCATATATAGACACACACAGACACACACAGGCACACACACACACACATGCACACTCACACGCAAACAGAGACACCCCACGAAACCTTCACAGGCCTTTTCCCAATCCCAGCTCGTCAAACTGCTCCAAAAAAACGAGCCAACTACACGACCATTCAAACACACAAACAAACAAAAAGCAAACAAACAAACAAACAAACAGACAAGCAAGCGGTCAACTGACCTGACTATGCCTGGATGATCCAACTTCGCCAGAGCCTTCACCTCCCTCATCACCCTGCTCCTAGATGACTTGCTGCGATGCAGAGATGGTGGAAGGATGCAAACAAGTTGAAACGATAATATGTTAATTTATGTGCCTCTACATATAAATGTAAAATTCGATCAGTCAACAAATGCATAGACATCATCATCATTATCATCATCATAATTATCATCATCTTTAAACATCGTCATCATCACCATCATCAAATCATCACTTGAATCATCATCCTAAAAATCATTATCATTACTATCATCATCATCATCTTCTTCAAACATCATCATCATCATCATCATCACCACCACCACAACCACCATCACATCACCACCTGTCCAGAATGGCGATCCTCTTGACTGCGTACATGCACTCATCGACCCTGTTGAAGGCCTTGAAGACCACACCGAACCCTCCCTGACCCAGGCACTCACGAGGTTCAAAGTCCGTCAGGTATCTGTTCATTGATTGGTTGGTTAGTTAATTGATTGGTTAGTTGATTGACTGGTTGGTTGTTTAGTTGATTGATTGGTTAGTTTATTGGCTGATTGGTTGGTTGGCAATTGGACAGATGGTTGATTAGATAATGGTCAACCAACCAACCAATCAATCAATTAATCAATCAACCAAACAAACAACAACAACTCTTCAGCCAATCATCAAACTAATCCAATGATTGAATAAAAACCTGGAGACAAATTGCTGTTTGGTGTCTGGTTGTGGTGGTTGCGGTAGCTGCTGCTGAATATATTCCACTTCCTGGCTGCTAAACACTGGCAAGATGTCATACTGCATTTGGTGAATGAATGATTGAATGAATGAATGTCAATGAAATAAATTGTCACAATCTGAAATGAATGAATGAATGAATGAATGAATGAATGAATGAATGAATGAATGAATGAATGAATGAATAAACAAATAAATTGATTAATCAATTAATGTTGAGTCCTTGACAATGTAGATGAAATAAATTGTCACAATCTGAAAAATATGAGAGTCTTCTTACAAAAGATTCACAAGCGGATTGAAAGTTCTAGAGCTGTCATTGGAGTGCATATGATGGCGTGCATTGGGTATAAGTTGTTGTTGTCGTTGTTGTTGTTGTTCTTGTATTGAAAGGAATCTCGCGACAACCACATCCGATCAACCACATTCAATCTCAATCAACTTCAATCAATCAATCCTCTTCAACCAACCACATTCAACCAACCACATTCAACCAACCACATTCAATCAATCACATTCAATTTAACACATTCAATCAATCAACTTCAATCAATCAACTTCAATCAATCAACTTCAATCAATCAACTTCAATCAATCAACTTCAATCAATCAACTTCAATCAACCACATTCAATCAACCACATTCAATCAACCAGTCAACGAACCTGAGCTGAACAGCTCTTGTTCACAACATTCTTTCGTTTCTTAGACGGTGAAGAGGACGATGACGATGAAGATGGTGATTCATCTTTCTCTGCTGATGATGTTTTGGTGAGGAATCTCATGGCAAATGAGACTATGGGCGGAAATGACAGGACGAGCAAGAGGCAGAATTCCTTCCTGCAAATCAATCAATCAGCTGTTCAAAAACAAGGTAGGTCGGTCGGTTGGTCGGTCAGTCAGTCATTGAGCCATTTACAACATATGCACCACATATGTACACTCTACAACTGTCAGCCACACCTGACACACCAACCAACCACCACAACAATAACCATCACACCAACCAACCACCACACACCAACCACCAAAACAACCATCACAACAACCAACCACAACAGCCAACCACCACACCAACCACCACAACAACTAACCACCACACACTAACCACAACCACAACCAACTGACCACATTTCGGCCAGCATGTGGAGCACACCCATCCTTATCTTCTGCGACAACTTCCGTGTGCTATTTCCGTGTCGACTGGTCAGGTCCAATGGAGTGTAATCCAGATGGAGATAATATCCACCATCTGCCGTCATCATCATCGTCACCATCATCATCGTCACCATCATCACCATGAGAGAGTGTGATTGCAACGATGGTGATCACGGCTGCATTTCATCTTTTTAACTCAGTCTAAATTAAACTTCTATGCATGCAAGAAATACCTTGCCCAACAATGTCCCATGTCTCTCAAGTTATTAGCTCACTGTGTATTCGAAGCCGGACACGACAGATTGGAAGCAGTCAACCCATTGGGCCGATTTATGTTTATTATTATTCTTTTTTATATATTATCAACATCATCATCTTATCACCATCATCAACAGCCAACTCACCAAATGGATACTGCTCCTTCGATGGTAATATGAGACTTTTGTCCTTATCACACGATGATGAGGATGATGATGAAGACGATGATGATGATGATGAGTGTGATGATGGTGGTTGTGATGATGATTCGCTCGCGATGAGGTCACGATTGGAGAGGACCTTGGTTCTTGATGGTGCTACAAAAATGGGTGGATGAATAGGTGAATGTGTGAACAGACGAGAGAACAAACGAATGAACGAACAAAGCAAACGAACTGGTGTTTAAATAAATAAGTGAAAGAATGATGCATAGATAAAGGAATAATTAAATAAATAAATGAATGAGTGAATAAATGAATGAATGATCTTTTGAATGATCTGATGAAAACTACAAACCATCTATAAAAAAAATATTAATAAACCAATTTACAAAGTTCAAACACAAATAGATGTAAAGATTTAGAGAGATGTCAAAGAACTGGAAGCCATAAACAGATGCAACGGTATAACGAACTCAAAAGATAGCAAAGGCAAAGATGAATGAAACCATGAAAAAAAAACCTGAGAAAATTTGGAAACAAACCAGAATGAATGAATGTGAAAAAATGAATGAAGATAATCACCTCTACACGAACCAATCATCTTACACCCCATAACACAAACACGGCAGTCCCTATCGCCCCCACACAAACCAACCAGTAGCAAGGTAGGGCCTCCACCTGACTCGCGGATGGAAGGCTTGACCGCGCTTACTGGTCGCCACAGAAGTTGATGAGGACGCGTCGGCGAGGTTGTGGTTGGCGTTGAGGATCTTCTCCGATTGCTGAACGTACAACATGTCGTTGAAGACGCCTGTACGTTTTTATGTGTGTGTGTGTGTGTGTTTGTGCGTGTTTTGTGTTGTGTGTGCGTGTTTTGTGTGTTGTGTGTGCGTGTGTGTGTGTTTGCGCGTGTGTGAGAAAATTCCATTTGCATGACCTTCGAAGAAATTAAATCCCGTCGTCATCATCGTTACAGCGACGACTACTTTCATCATTTCTTACAATAAATTTCACGATTACTACAAACTATCTCCTTATACTATAATTATTGTAACAAAGGGATCTTCAGACTGACCAATATAGAGGAGCTTGGGAGCGCCATTGTGCTGCTCATCAACTTGCGTCGGATAGATGATGTTACTGTCCTCGAACAGGCTGATGACCTTCAAGTCGTAACCTCTGATCGACCATGCCCCAGCTATCGACGAATCGAACTGCAGGTTTGTAAGTATCATGCATGTATTTTTGACTTAAAGGTTAAAAGGTTAAAGGTTAATCTATCTCTTCTGCGTTTGCTTCAGAGGTTTCAACGACAAACACACACAGCGTATATGAATACGCGTGCAAACCACGCATCATACACATTGCATATGATAGGCGGGGATCTCTTTGTACTCGAACCCAGTCATTGCAATAGCAAGACCAGGTGCCTTTAACCATTGAGCAATCACGCCGCCCAAAAGGGTTAGTTTAACTCACGGACTCAAGTTAAAACTACTGTGGTCATATTCATCTATAAAATCGTCGCTTTAACAAACTCACTGGCATCAAACTCATAGAGATCAACATTATTTATCACCTGGTGCTGCCAGTACACATGCTTCGGGTCGACCTTGGAAACACCCTGAATGACCCCCGTCGACATTTTGATTTTGAGGTCAAGGTCCTTCGTGACGTCATGATTCTTCAGGAAACGAGAAAAGCTGCTCCTGAATGCAAACTGGTCATCTGGTTGTGGAAGGGAGGCGGTGGTCAGTTGGAGTACCCCGTGAGACATTCAATTGACCGATAATCAGTAACTTATTTCTAGCAAAACAACAGGTCACAAGTTCGTTCTATGACAAATTTAAGGCCTGGTCAAGATGATAACGTGAATTCCAAAGAAAGACATATCAGACATAGAAGTTGTATTTTAGATTTGAATTGCAGATTTGTACAGGACTTCTTCTATTGAATTTTTTATCAGATGGAAAAGAAAATGCAACACGTGGAAGTATAAAGCTTATTATATTTCATTGTATCACAAATTATAACTTGAAAAATTTAGTTTTAAAAGAGAAAAACATCAAATTAAAGTCGTAGAGCAAGTTAGGCTTATTCATTCCAGTATGATAGGTGCAAGAACAACATGGAAGACAGAAATCTAAACTCATTTCTTAAACATAATAATATAATATACATAAATTATGAATTTACAAATTATATTAATAGTGAAAAACATTGGATCACATAAGAAATAGAAATAACTCCACAATAAACCAAATCTGCTTCAAAATTTTTCCAACGACAAATTTCACGGCTGGTCAAGATGATAGAAAATAAACTTAACAAATGATAGAGACAGACAGAGAAACATACAAGCAAGAAGATGTACAAGCAGCCAGACACAACCTGCATTGGAGTCCAGGTACTGATCATCATAATAGGATTGCACAAATCTCGAATGCAAACTAAGTTCATGGTAGCCTACACTGTAGTTCCACCTGTAGCATTTTGTTTCAATCTTATTAAACTGACACACACAAATACATGCACACACGCACATATATACAAACACACACATAAATACACATACACACACAAACACACACACACACATATATATATATATATATATTCATCTCGTTACATTTTCATCATACAGAAACACAGCTCACGCAAAAAAAGAAATTTAGAAAATGAGCAGTAGCATTGAAATAGATTGAACATAATTAAACATTTTGGATACACAATGACACACCCGTAATAATTTGAAATATCTGCAGAGAAACAGCTCATGTAAAAGATACATCAAAAATTTAAAACTTGCAAATACACCAATTTATAAAATAAAACATGTTAGCTCTATGAAATCACCAGATTGATTACACTTTGTTGAAATTCAAACGTTCAGTATTGTGTAAAACTTTTTGTTGTTCATTTTTTTTAAAGCAAGTTGTTTTGTTGTTTCCGTTCACAAAAAGTGTTGCAACAACATGTTAATATATTTTTTGTATCTGCTATCATTTCTGAAAAGTTACACTTTGTTGAACAGTTGGGCTTCAAATTTTATATTCTGTCATGTTGTGCAATGTTGGCAACAAGTGAGTTTGAAGACAGGTCGACAATGGTCTGACAAATAGTGAGAAATAACTTTAAAAAAGCTCAAAATTATGATGGGTATTGAATAGAAAAAGACGAAATTAAAATCTAAACAAATAAATAAAGTCTAAACAAATAAAAAATGTATAAACATGATAGCAGATGCTATAAGAAGTAAATGAATGTAGAGAAGATTAGCTAGTTAGTAGTGGATGCATTCCATCTGTGAGGTTTACATGGGCATGTACTGGCAAGGCAATTATGATGCTAATTGGGGCAATTAAAATAAACAATTTTGTAGGAAAATTTGAGGAAATAAAATAATGGGCTCAACAATTTAATTTGATTGGAAGCATGCTCAAGATTATCTAAATATAATTTATGACAGAACTTTGCAATTTTTCCACCAAATCATTAAGCTCTTAAAAACAGCCAATCATACCAAAGCTAATCAATCAACCAATCAACTAATGAACCAAATGACTAACAATCCAACTTGTCAATCAACCAACTATTCAACCAATCAACCAACCAATCAACCAACCAACCAATCAATCAAATAAAACTAACCAACCAATCAATTGATCAATCATCCGTCAATCAACCAAATAATCATCCGACCAATCACAGCTAACAACCCATCCAATAAGCCAGCCAATCAAATGCTTGCTTACTTCTCCTGGCCATCAACAACATCCACCATCCTAATTGTCCTGTCAGTCCTCTTGATGACGAGAACCTCTCTGACGTCATCATCATCTTCGTCGTCGTCACTTCCTCCCAACCTTCCATCGTCGTACTCATTTTTGAGGTGCCGGCAGCCGGCAGAGGAACAAATGTAGCGTACCTTCCGAATCAATGCACAGGCAATTAAAAATTTGTTGGGCAACGCTATAGTGTAATGGTTATTATGCCCGACACAGATACTGCAGTAGCTGGGTTTGAATGCAAGCAGATCCAGGTTGATCACACCTCTCAGAAACACCATGAAGAAAAATAAAAAAAATGATATCAATAGAATGAAACACATTTAAATAGTAACTTAATGTGAAATTATTATCAGATAAATTTTGAGTGAACAAATTGGCAGCCCAGACCACTATTCAAATAAAATTTAGAACAAATGTTTGTACATTTCACAAATGGCTGTTCCTTTCACAGAGTATTTGATGGTGAGTTTTGTTTCAGTTACAATTCGATATGCTATACTCTCCTGTCCATCTATCATCCATCAACAATATCAACACAACAATTTCATTGAAAAGTTTTATAGTTCATTAATTTACAACTTTATTAATCCCCCACTTTTAATTCTCTAGTAATCCATTCACTCACTCATTCACTCAACAATCCATCCATTCATTCATTCAATCATTCACTCAACAATCCATCCATTCATTCATTCAATCATTCACTCAACAATCCATCCATTCATTCATTCACTCATCCACTCAACATCCATCCATTCATTCACTCATCCACTCAACATCCATCCATTCATTCAATCATTCACTTAACAATCCATCCATTCACTCACTCATTCACGCAACAATTCATCCATTCACTCACTCATTCACTTAGTCAAAATCTCACCTTGCCAGTCCGGACATTGATGCCGTATGTCTCAATCTCCTTTCCTCCAACTATGAATGAATCATCCGTCAGCTTGAAGGTCGAGGACAGGAGTGTATCTGCGGCCAATGGGACAGGTTCAATGCCATCCGAGTCGATCTGGTACAGCCCACCATCCAGTGAGGGAACCAATCGGGAAACTACACCATTTTTCCTGATCTGCAATTGGATGAAATCAATTGAATAAATCGATCAGGAAAAAAATTGAGTGTATCTGACATATTGATATATGTGTGCATCACATCAGTAGAATCTCCGACCACCTGAGTTTCGCTGATGCTGGAAGAGAGAAGTGGACCGACCCCGACCATCATCGACCACTTCACATCACCTGTGCGCGCATTCAACGCTGACACTGTCCCATCCATGTTGCTGATCAGCACCAAGTATCTGAAGACGAAGGTAGAAATGGGGATATATTTAACAAACTCATCAAATAAAAGAATAGAAGCAATGTGTGAGCAAATATCTCAGAGTGTTGAGTGTTATACTATAATTATACTGAATTTTTTTCTATTTGCAAGTACATTAGGCAAACAAAAGGCAACAAATTAGGCAAGCAAATACAATGAGACAAATTAGGCAAGCAAATACAATGAGACACACATACAAGACAAACCTGCTGTCATCAGAAGGTTCTGGAGGAGAAGCAGTAGGTTCCAGGAAGGAGGGCTCATCATCAGCTGACTGATCTACAACAACATCAGTTTCCAGAACTTCACAATGAGTCTCTCTCTTCAGGCCAACTACCATCAATGACACTAACATCAACCCACCTAACAACTTTTTACAGGCCATCCTTATTTAATTGCCGATTCTTTCTTTTAGCTTCCCCTTTAGCTAATATTAAAAAATTCAATTCTTCCACCAACCAATTAATCAGGAAAATATGACAACACCCTCCCTCATCGAATTAATTAATGTTAAATAGAAATCTAATTAATATTAATTAAACAATTTAACTTGCTTAACTAATCAATTTTGAGAAATTTACGAAATTAAATTATTTCAAAAGACTTAGAGGGGACAAATATTGATTACACCACAAATTTGTTGTCTTTGTTGAGCAACATTTAAAAGTGAACTGCGGAAGAAATCTACGTCAATCTAGTCGACGACAGAAATAAAATTTCGCTAGCTTGATTGGTCGGTTTATGTAGGTCAGCCAATGGGATGCATCCTTAGTAGGTCACCATACGTGGCTCGGGGGGGTGTGCTCTGGAAGGTGACTTTTTGCATCGTGAGGACGGATTGATCGTTTATGAGGGTATAAAAATTTTAAAGTTTTGGATAATATATAACTAATTTGGCGATTCGTTTCGTCAGTTATCAAATTATTCTACTACTAACAAATACTAATTATAGTAAGGTCATGTGCTTAAAATATAGTATAAAATTAGGGTTTAATTGAAAATTACATAGCATTCGGTGTGGTAGCACTTGAGGTCGGCTTGATTTGAACATGAATAAACCTGTTTTAAAAAAATCCTAATTTACGGATCTTTCAACAACGCGTCTTGTAATCGAAAAAAGATGTTATAATTTGGTATTAAATTTTGGCTCATTTATGGGCTTAAGATTTCGTTTGTTAACCGTTTTTGATATTTTGTAAGGGACATATTCTCGCTTAAATATGAATAAGTTAATGCCGAATGATTGCTAGTGAACGACGTTAAAGAGAATGATGACGAGTTGATTGGTTCCGAAGATCTAGATATTTATCACAAATTGTGAACAGGGGGAGGCCTGTCAATGATGAAGATCTCAGATTAGCGTGGCTATACGTACACCGTATACCAGTCACTTTTTTTTACCAGGGTTTTTAAACATAATTTTATATTTTATTTTTTGCTGTTTTATAAATGACTCTCAAATTAGTCTAATTGTTTGAATTATTTTATGCTCCACTTATGGAATTTTTTCATAATTTACAATAAATAAACGAAACATTTGCGACACTTCATATTCTATTCATCCATATTAAAATTGGTTTAGGTTGGGAATGTAAGTTGTGGACAAAAAAAATTGCAAGTTTTTGGAATTAGTAAGTGAAAATTTAAAATTTTTTTCATATGTTTTGGAAATAACGATATTTTAGAAAGTCTGGCCATTATGTATATAGACAGTGCTGGTTTGAGGTAAGAAAACAAGATTGTGAAACAAAAATCTGATAAACATTAGGTAATTGAACTTTACTACTACTGCCTGCTACTACTGGTACTACTACTGGTGCTGCTGCTACTAAATAATACGATTTATATGGCGCCAGGTGCACAGTTGCTTCAGAGGCGCCCAGAGACTTTTATTTTCAGCATTATTTTAAAAATTCCAAAATGATGTACGACTTTTGAGTTTTGTCGACAGCCCCTTTAGGGAAATAGAGAAGTCTCATCTCGAGGCTTTAAACGTAATGATGACTATTTCCTAAGTTACTCGTAATGTTCTGAAGAGCTCTGACGGGTAGACCAATTTCAAATCCACAGCAGTGTTTTAATCGATGAGTTGGAAGCTTTAAAAAAGAGCGAGTCAAGCCGAGACCAGGTTAAACAGTGTGTGAGGTGTTGAGGCAGTCTCGTTTGTCAAAAAATGCTTGATGTGCGAAATGGCACGCAAGTGGCAATTGCATGACATCATCATGCTAGAAACAAATTGTATAAATACTGTACGTTGAAAGTTGCTGTTGTTTTTTGCTGTTGCAAAGTCGATCTACTCTTATTATTAATTTTTTTATTTCAAACGATAAAATAATTTTCATAAAAACCTGCTACCTGTTAAAATATAGATAACCAAATGAAGTTTGTTTTTGAAACGTCAACATCACAACAGCCAGCAACAAAAAGTTTAACGTATTAATTAGTACCAGACATAAATTTTTCAAAAATAAAATTCATAATGTTGTTAATGAAAAAATTGGGAGAACAACACGTGTTCATTTGCTCGTTAATCCTTTGTTGCTAGTAGTTGATTGATAACCAACGAACGATTTCTTCATCATGACGTTGGAACCAGTCCACATTAGCTCGGACGACACTCAAATGATCACTTCCAAGGGTAATACCACTTTCCTTAAACTTGGTCAATAATGTTTTCAACTGCGAGGGTTGATTTTTGTGTACTATTTAGTAAAATAAAAATACAAATGTCTACAAACAAATCATACGGTCATGCAGAAGCCTACCCTAGTTCAACCGTAAACTTCCAAAAGCTAAAAGTTAGGTCTAACTACGATGACCAAAAAAATGGGAACAAGCAGAAAACAATTATTTTAGTGACATATTGTGGTGGACTAGTAGAAGAGTTTACTAAAATAACATTATCAGTATCAGAACTTGTATGGCACCTCTCTCGAAAGACCTCGGAAGCGCTTTCTTTGGTGTACAGTGTTGAAATAATGATGTTTCAATGTTTTTTTGAACAGCCGTCGATCTGTGATGGAACCATCCCTCAACTCTACAGGAAGTGAGTTCCAAATTTCACTCACCATTACAGCAAATTTCCGCCGTCCATATTTTGAGGAACTAAAGGACGGAATAACCAGATCCCCATGGTCCGACAACCTAAGATGACTACGCCCATGTACCTTTGATACCGGTATTAGTTGTTTACTCAAGTAAACCGGTGCGGTGCAGCCAATGGAGTTCATTATATATCAGTTGCGACGACTTAGACAACTGATGTGGGGGCAAAATTTTGAAAATGTTTAAATTTAGACAGGGGGGCTTTCTTGGCTTATCACGTCATTTTTTGGTCAATTTCCATTAGATTCGCCACTGTTAAACTCAAGAAAAAGGTGATGTTGGGTAGGTGCTTTGTTAAAATGATGTTATTGCATTGGAAATCAAGATTTTTTGAGAGTTATATTTTAAGTTAACATCAACAAAATGTATCGTCATAAACGAGGAAACTCACATCGTTGTAATCAGCTTTAGTTGAGAAGTAAGGTCTAGCTGATTCTATTATGAAATCTATTTCGTCGGATATCCTGGTTACGTACGGTTAAGTTTAGCAGACGAGTAATTATTTATTAACTTGTTTAATTATTTATTTTTTAAATTTATTTCCAGGTACAAAAACACGCACACAGAGCATGTGATCGGCGAGGATTTCTTTGCAACAGCAGGTCCAAGCACCTTAACCATTATGGTTTCTTATTAACTTATGGTTTAATGACATAAATCAGCATCACATGTTAGATAAATCAATTCTAGAAAAGATTATTTGTGCGCAAAAATTTGATTCTTATAGAAATTTTATAAGTTCTTTTAACATAAACATTAAACATACCGTATTTCAAATTTTTAAGTTATATGGAACTCTGAAAAACTTTTCATAAAGCCAAAAGTTTCAAGTAAATTAATTTAGTATTAAATATAATAAAATAGTCAATCTTTTGAAACACCACAACAAATTAATAAATAAATTCATAGGCGAAATGGTTAAAGTGTCTGGAACTGCTATTGCACTGACTGGGTTTGAATGCGAAGACATCCCAGCCGATCACATGCAAACATCACAGAAGCACTAATGAAAGAATCGTTAAAACATTAGATTACATACACCAAAAAATTTAATAAAACACGTAGACACCTTTCGTATATTTTCATCCAATTTTCATTGAAAAATTTCCAAAAAGTTTCTTTGTTGTTTGCATTTGCGCCAATAAAACACAGAACCGCATAACTTTCATCTGCATCCAGTAAGGTATCATTTAGAGACATCGTCAACAATCTGAGTATTTGAAATTTAAACTATCATTTTTTTAATATAATAAGTAAAATGTATTGCCTGCTCTCATATTTTTCACATTATTTTATTACATCGTCATTATATCAAAGTCTTTGTTTGGTTTTAAGAAATCGAAATTATTTTGAAAAAAAAATATTTCAAATATCAATAAATTTGGTGTACTTAATAAGAGTAAAGAGAATTTAAACAACTTTAAAAATGATTTTCAAAAACAATATTTATATTATATTGATATTGATCTCTTCAAATCATTTTGTTACTTAAGTGAATATCCATCCAGGCACTCATCGATTTTTGTGTAATTTTTTATTTTTCAAAAGAGTTAAAACTCGGAAACTGCAAGCACCCTACCAGATACCATAATGTCGGAGTAGGGTATCGAAGTCGGAAATTTTCACCCAGAGCCGGAAAATTTTAATTTGAGGAAAGTTCTTGATCCTACTTACTCCGACCAGAGAAATGTTTGAGAAATTATAAAAAAAAACAATAAATTAAATACAAAAAGATATAAAATGATATTGGAAATGTGAAAAATGGAAGTATAACTTGAAAGTTTTCGAAAATTAAACATACTTCAAAACTCTCGACGGATCTTCGCTTTGTGAGAGATGTTCCAAGGCTTCCGTTCTCTGTCCGTATGTGCTGTCGTTTGACATGACTATCTCCATGAAGTAGTTCCATTCTTCCTCTCCTCCATAAGCCACCACCTTTCCGTATAAAAGAAACTTTTCAATCGGTGTCAATCTAATAAAAAAAATTTGGAATATCAAGTCAAAAAAAGTCATTGTTTTATTAAATAAGTTTCATTATTATTTTTAAAATTTAATTTTACTTAATTAAATAGTATTAAATTAAATTGTTTTAATAAATGTACGTTTGAATCTAAAACAGGATTTCACAGGGAACACAGTTTTATTCTCGACAAGATCAACGAGACTGTATGTGTTAAGGATAAAGTCAAAATAGTTTTTAGAAAGAAAAAACGTAAAAACGCTGTAAAAAAAATGTGTTAAAAAGCTTGCCGGCTTCAAGTTTTTGAATAAAAAAATCAGTGTGAACTAAAAATGGACGCATTTTTGAAACAAACAGACATTTTTGAAGACAATAAAAAAATTTTTATACAAATTTGCGACACAGTTATGTAAGGAGTGGGACAAAATTGTTCTATAAACAGATCCAAATCGTCTTTTCCCAAACACGATTTACTTCAATCCGCCAGCGATGGCCTGGTGGAACATCTCGTTCATAGTTTGGAGGTACTTTTCCATGCCCACATAGCACGCAATTACCATTAAAAACATCCTCAAATCTCTGACAAGAAATACAATTGTCATTAGTTACGGTTGATTATCTTAATAATATTAGTATTTAATTTTAAAAATAATGATAGAAAGTTATTTTTTACTTACCTTATTTTTACAGTGTCGTTGGATTGGGGTTTGAACGTTTCCAAAAATGGCGTTATTATATTTCTCGTAACATTCTAATTAAAAATTGTCAACAATAAGTTTATGTTCACGTTATTTTTGCAATGAAATATTTTTACAAAAAAGATCCACCACTAAAGAAAAACTCCTATGTAGACCATTCTTTCGTTAGTCAATCTCGTCTGGTTTTGAATTCAGGAACAGATTTAGGGGTGCGCAGGTCTTGGGGCAACAAAAAAGTGCAGGCCCTCAATTGTTTTATTATTTGATTTTTTTATTTTGCAGTATTAGAAAAGCGTTAATATTTTTTGCTCATTCCAATTTTTTTAAATTTTTCCATTAAAATCAGTGCTCTTAAAATGTATTGCAGCTGAAATTTCGGAAAATTACGTTTTTAGGAAAAAAGTTTAATAATTTTTTGTAGAGACCTCTTTTTTGGAGGCTCCGGAGCCTGCACCTTTTAAAATCTCGTCATGGCTTTTATTAAAAACATCAATAGAACAAAGTAAAAAATTGTATCACTTTGAATGATTCCACATGCCGACTATCGAGAAGTTTCAACAGGTACCATCTGTTATCGATAAATACATCCCACGGATGGTAGTCATCTTCCTCTTTCAAATAAAGCAGAAAGTCAAGAGCGTTAGTCACATTCATTTGTTCATTTCTGAAATGCCCAAGTTTGTCATTTGTGGTTGATGTTATTTTGGAAAAATTTGAAGAAAATCGCTATTTTAAATTATGTTGGAAATAATTAACAATCATTTAGTTCAATTTATTCTAAATTTAATAAACAAATTTTAAATGTTTTTTATCGGGCAAAAATTTTGAACATTTTTTATTTGGATTACTTTAGCAGAGCGAACATGTCAAAGATCAAATTTTCTCTATCCTTCACAGAGAAAACCTAGATGGTAGAAATATAATGAAACAACGTTAGAAAGAATAACGTAAACCATTTACAACAACTAATAATAGCTTTTTAATTAATAAAAATAATCATTAATCATTTTTATTATAATTATTTAAAAAAATATAGTTTTCGTTTATCATGAATTAAAAACCTCTTTTTGCCGAAAATCACCTCCATAGTCAATTCAATTATCAAACATCTTATTATGGTTTACCCTATTTTCCATTTTAAAAAGTCCAGCAAATCTAACTCCAATTTTTCACCAGCCCCGGTCTTCACTCTACGTTTTTTCCATTTTAGCTTAATATTTTAATGCATTTTATCCAAATTCGCGACCTTAATAATCTGTGACGGTATAATTTCACGGTATGATTTCCAATTGGATTACTAAAACTTCCACAAGGTCCATTAGGCAACTTGTAAAACATTGTGGGTTTTTGTTAAAAAACATGCCGATTAACTAACTATAGATTCGCATTTATGAAATAAAAAATAACACAACACAACATAACTAAATATCTTCTTGTCTTATCATGTTTTTAGCCATCCTCGATCCAAGGGTAGGCTGCATCATGAACCTGTTTTTCCCAGTTAACTTGCAGCATTGTCCGTAATGATAGAGTCTAGATAAGAAAAAAGGGCATTGATTCCAATAAAACTTCATCGACTTCAATTTCAAATTTGATTTCATTTATTTGCATCACTTTAGTTTTATCTTCATCAATAATCAGGCTGTATTTGGTGCTGGCTATTTTTACCCGGTTGACTAATTTAAGTTATTCCATTTTAGTGGTTGCCAAAAGTATGGTGTCATATGCACACTTCAAATTTCTTATCCTTCATCCTGCTATGTTTATTTTTTTTCAAAACTTACCAGAGTTTTTCTCATTATATTGAAGCTAAGACATTGAACAGGTCAGGAGATAATACATATCGACTGCTACTTTTACTTTAGCCATTTGCTTCATTTAAAAGTTATGTTACAATTATGCTTTATGAGACGGGAAACACTGAATGGTTTACAAACTTATCATTAGTTTTTGCTGTAAATCAAGTCAAGTTTTAACCGGATTTTACTTTTATACATTGCAAATGAGGTTGAAACCGCCGTGTTAGGAACTATGTCGCTGTACCGAATTCCCTCATGTTTCCTTTCCTACTAGTAACCTTTACTTCATATTCTCAATCTGTTCTTGTTTATCATTCAGTAGTTTCCTTTGTACTTCAGCTTTCAGCTCCTTGTATTTTTTTGGATTTTTCTAATTTGCTTTCCTTTTCTCTGCTATTGATTTAAGTGTGTTCTGTGATATCCATCTACTTTTCTATTCTGGTTTTCCATAGCCCACCATTTATGCTGCAGTCTCCATCGGAATTTTTTTTTGTATTTTGCCACAATGACTTTGAAATGTTTTTGTCTTTAATTAGCTGTAATTCAACAAAAAAGGTTTGACGAGTTACAGTTAACCTAACTCAATATAGCATAACATAGATTGAAAATAGTTAGACGCGAACAATTGTTTTTATGCTCCAAACTGAAAATTTTATGCTCCAAACTTCTCAAAAACTTTTTATGAAATATTGGTTGCTAAATAAAATTTTGTTTCGTTAAATAAAGGATAAACATGGTTATTGGTGATAAGTAAATGATACGCACATTGCGGTCGAGTCTCAACTGCTTGATAATTTCTGACCAACCGTCATCACCATAATCAACTCTGTAGAAACCTAAATTGCATGTGTGAACAGTTGGAATGAATTTGGTTAATATTAATTTTTTTAGCACTTTCAATTCGTTAAAATGTTTTTGTTTGCGTTTATTCATTCAATCAATCATTCATTCGTTTTGTCGAAATCATCGAGTCCAAAATTTTTTTCATATTAAGTTTAAAGTTCATTCTTAACTCATTGAATAATTCAAATTCAAATAATTCATATAAAATCATTCAAACGTGATTGCATTTCAAATATTTTTTTATAATATTAAAATAATATGTCTAGAGTAGGTGGAATAATTTTATTTTAAACAGAAACCAATTGCGATAGAAACGTAGCAAAATTTTTTTATAAGCACGACGGCAGGTGTAATACCAGCGATAATAACATCAACCTTATCATCATTCTAACCCATTGCGTTAAAGTTGAATTTTATCCAAGATACATCTTCCAGCAGGTCGAATTCCACTGAAAAAATTAGCAAATTTTGATTTCAAGTTGAAAAATGTTTTGTTAATGTGGACATATCTCATAGTTTAAAAATCTCAATAACACTTTTCAGTCTTGTTTCAGTTATACAAACTTGAAATTTTTTTGTAAATGAGAAGAAATTGTTGAAAATATTTGCTGCTGTTATGATCTGGTTTTAAATTTTCACTTCACATATGCGAATTTGAATTGAAATGCTTCTACAATTTGTTAGCGCCGATTCAACCTAAGTGACATCCCCACCCTGATCAATTTTTCGAAATTGAGTCCCACCACCATACAGACGTACTTGTCCGGTTCACCATGAGGAGAGTCACGGGGTTGCGCGGTTGTTTACTGGTGACGTATGTGATCGGGACGACCCACGTCTCACTGTTAACAAATTGATCGCTTCAATTTATTGCACAAAATCATTTTTTTTGAAACATCGTTACGTTAAATAAGAATATTGAAATGAAATTTAAAATATAAAATAAAATTGGCCACGCTTGCAGGCAGCCTACATAATGACGATGCTGCATGATGCCGTTGGCTCCGATTTATTTCGTGCATCTTTGAAGCACTACTTGGACAAGCACAAGTTTGGGAATGTACACAGCGAAGACTTTTGGGATTCATTCACCCAAGAGGTGTGTTCATTTTTCAGCTAATTTGATATAAACAGCACTTTGGCACTATAAATGAGCCAACAATGTTTTACAACTCAGAAAAATAAAAAATTTTCAAGGAAATATCGATAGGAAGGATTGGAAATATGCATGCCCAGAAGCAACAAATAAGCGGAGACCTTTATCTTTTTTCTCAAGTCAAAATCAATAATGTCAGTGAAAATGCAAAAAAAAAATATTTCAAGAGTAATAAAACGTAACGGTTGCTGACATGTAGCAATTCAGATAATATCTTAACTTAATTCTGGATACCTCTTCCTTGTGGAGGCCCAGAACTTTTTTAAGTTTGGCTAAAAATATTAACGCCTACTTGAATTTCAAATGTCCTTGATTCTCGACAAACTTGTTTTGTCGACAGGTAACTTTCTTACCATTCCTGCTTATGCTGATGAGCGGATAACCTTTCTGTAGAGTCCACGTGTTCATCATCTCCCTCACGTTAGTCTGGCTGCCCCAATTCAACTGTGTAAAAAATTTTGACAATTTCTAAAGTTTGATTTTCAAAAATGTTTAAAAATTATGTGTTTGCGGTTTGAATTTAATTAACTAATCTCTAATTCATCACATGTAAATCCACTGAAAACAATATTTTAAGAAACTAAAGAACAAAATTTTATTTTTCTGAGTTGTAAAACATTGTTGGCTCATTTTTAGTGCCAGAGTGCTGTTTATATCAAATTAGCTGAAAAATGAACACACCTCTTGAGCAAATGAATCCCAAAAGTCTTCGCTGTGTACATTCCCAAACTTGTGCTTGTCCAAGTAGTGCTTCAAAGATGCACGAAATAAATCGGAGCCAACGGCATCATGCAGCATCGTCATTATGTAGGCTGCCTGCAAGCGTGGCCAATTTTATTTTTTATTTTAAATTTCATTTCAATATTCTAACTTATCGTACTCCTCTAACGTATTTCAATCAAAGCGTCTGAATCGAAAATATTTACCCGGAGTTGGATTTTGTTTCTGATTGTTTTCCAATTCCGACACCCTAATTTTATTGCATTCAACATTGTAGTAACTAAAATGATAGAAAGATGCAGTCGACAAAACAAATGACCTTTGCATGTTCGACAATAAAGCATTAAATACTTCAAATACCAGTAAATAAATGAAGTGTGTCATTAAAAAAGTAAATGGCTCCGTTGTTTCACACTTGGTACAGCGTACTATCTACAACTACATATCAAAACACTGACTAAAATAATGTTATTTTATGTGTTCAATTAACTAGCGTTTTTGAATAAGTTCATAAAGGTAAATTAAAAAACTGAAAACCTTCAAGTTCAAAATGGAATAAATCGTATTTTTAATTTTATCGGGGTCCTCTGAAAAAAACGATAGCGGATATGTGTAAGCCAAAGAATCGTAGTGCAAGGCTGAAGCTAGGTGATCGGATGTTTCATCTTCCAGCTATAAAAAATATTGATTTGCTGTAATAAAAATGGTTTCTGCATAAATTAGATGACATTGAGAAACATGGAAGTTATCATTGAATGTGAGAAAAATGTTACATGTACACTCGAATGACATTTTAAAATATTTACATTTAATATTTCTCATGGAAGATTTGTAAACCAATATAATTTACTAAATTGACGCAATTAACTTTCAACTTTCTTTAGTTTGTGGGTGATCTGTGTGCGCGTGTGGGTGCGTGCATGCGTGTGTTAGTGTATGTGTTTTAGTGAACGTGTAAACTAATAAATAAATAAAAATCATTTAACCTCATCGACTAACAAAAGGACGACGAGACTTAATATTTTGAGTTACTAACTAGTGGCCAGCCGGAGAAGACATGTTTGGCCCCGATGCCCTCAACAAATGTGGCGAACCCATTTATCAGCCACCAGTCGCTCCACCAATCCATCGTCACCAAGTTCCCAAACCACTTTCCAAAAAAATTAAAAAATAAAATTAGGAAAAAACTTGCAAATTAATGCTAAAAATCAAAATTAAAAGTTTTCCAAGTTTCATTGATAAATGTAGAAGAATAGATCCATTGGATTCAAGTTGAATTTTCGTGTACGTTGTTAAAATATTCAGTAGAATTCATTTAGAAATAGTTTCTACCTGACGTGCGAGCACGTGTGCAACGATCGAAACCAATTCCTTTTTATCTTCTTCCGTGCTTTCATTTTCGTTGTATAGTAAGTAGCTTGAATTGTACAATAAGAGGCCCCAGCTTTCCATTCCTTTAAATTTCAGGCTAGGTACCGGTACATGATCTAGGTAATGGTTTCGTGGTTAGATGATTGAAACCGGTGTCGTAGTGACTGGGTTCAAATGCAAACAGATCTCTGTGATGCGTTGATTTACGCGATTTACGCACTATGCGTATGATTATGATGCCTCTAAAAATGCAGAAGAAAAAATTGTATAAAGATGATCTGCGTGAACATGACAGGCAGGTACAACTTATTTCTACATCTAATTCTGAAATGAAACTTCGCATTTTGATAAGTTTTTTTGTTAGATTAGATGGTAAAGTCTCATTTGAAATAAAATAACGACTTCTAAGGGATTTGGCGGGCCAAAAAGGCTTTATAGGAGAGGTTAAAAATTTGTTACGGCGGTAAAGGGGAGTCATAAACGCTAAAAAGCGTGACAATTTTATGTATGGACAGCTTCAAAAGTCTCAAAAACGTATCTGTTGCTTATTTTCCACCTATTAACATTTCAAAGTTCAACGAACCAATTTTTTTCAGCGGATATTTGGTTTGGTAAAATTCTTCAAAAAACTCCAGCATTCTGGTTGAAATATTGAGACTAAAATCCACATCGCTGATAGTTTCTGACGGGGAAAACACTGAGACCTACAAATGAACACCCAAAATATTATTCTCACTCATTCATCTGACCGTTGCAAAATAAAAACTACCAAACAACTACCATTAACCGTAATATGAGCGGCGAGATAGCGTAATGATTAAAGGCGCTGGGTCCTGCTGTTGCTGTGAGAGGGTACGAATGCAAACTAATTCCAGCCTATCATATGCAATGTGTATGATGTGTGGTTTTCACGCTTATTTGTATACGTTGAGTGTGTTTGTCGCTAAAATCTCTAAAGGTCGTTAAAATCTTCGACCTTCAACTTTTTGATAAATTATTCAAGTTTAATTTTCTAGTCATTTAACAACTTTAATAAAGGTAAATATTTTGGTTTTATTTAGAAGAGGTACCATATAAGTCACATGAATATGGGTCCTTCATAATCATCATCTACCTTATTTTGTCTAATTTTGAAATCAAGTGAGTAATTGAAATTAATGAAAAATGAGTTAATCCTCTAAACCAACATTAACTCCGCTCCTGGTCATCGTGGATTTCGACTGGAAGTCACACACGACGAACGCCAGCAAGAATGTGCTCATCTTCACTGTCTTCTCAAAAATGTCCATTGTCTCCGCATCTGAAACTTTCATTTCTCCAGTCTGAGATTGAATACGATGAACAAATACTGTAAAATTATCTTTTTGGTATATTTTTTCATTTTTTCATCTACATATACCTTTTTTTATTATTCTCTGTTCTGTTTTTTCTTCAAAGGCTCAGTTTTAAATATAGTTTGCTACCCAACATTTCGAAAATATAGCCATTGAGTTACAAAGTTTGTTTGCTGACCAAGTCTTGCAAACTTTTCTGTTTTTTTAACTGGTTTTTAAAGACTCTGATTCTTACTTTCAGTTTCACATTAATTTTTAATAAATTTTGTAACATTCTAATTTAAATTTTTTAATCTGCCATTCTTCTTCTCTGATATTTATCATCCAATTTTAAAAAGCATGTAAGTTGTATATTGGCACACGCACGCTGTTTGAAACTTAAAAAGTTTTTCAGTTAAAATTTTTCAACTTTTCGACTCAATATTTTTTTAAAAAGAAGAAAAAACAAAACAAATGACACAACATTTGAAATTTGTTACTCATATATGCACGCATGTATGTATGTATGTAATATTAAATGAGCTATTAGCATATTTTATTGATTGCCAACATCATTAAGTACATTGAAACGTAACGATGCAGATGGCTAAAACAATTTTTTATGTTTTTGAATAAATAATTATTTAAGCCATTTTTTACCGAAGCGTCACCTGTGATTTCGTGTCATCTGCCTTTTTCACATTTTGCTTAGTTCCATGTTCTTTCGGATCATACATTATTTCCATTCTCTTAATAACATAGTCAAGCAATATGTTGGAAATGCTAAAGATATGGTGTGTATCTAATACCTTTCTTATAAATGCCGTCAACAACATCAAAACTAATCCGTTTCCAGTTCCTTCTTTCCAAATCCTGAATGTGGGTCGACACATTGTTGTGCCTTTTTTCTCATGCTTCTTACTTAACCCGTTACGTATAATGTTCAATCAGAACCGGTGAATCATATGAAACCCAAAAAAACGGACAAGTAAGAATATTCCTATTATCAAAATTATAAATATAGAAAAAATAAGCAAACTGTGACCTTTTCTGTATTGAATAATGAAATGAAATTATTTGGACGGATGACGTTGAACTTAAATTTTGCCTTCATGTTTGGTTCGTCGAAGCATGGAAAAGCTGATCTGGCTTCAGTTGGTTCGAAGAAGGTGGCTGCTAAGTACCTGGTTTGTTTGAGGAAAAAAGTTATGTTTATTAGGATCAGTATTGAATGTCTGGCTACTTGCGGCTCTGTTCAGCTATTAAGTTAAATGAAACACTCGTATTGGTTGTATTTTGATTTCAGGGTCAAACCAAATCATATCAAAAAGATGTTGATTTACTAAAAAAGCGAAAAACCAATCGTGGCATGGAAACTAAGCAGGTCAGAGACCTTTTAGGTCACCAAAATTATTAAAGTACAAAATGGCAGTGTTATGAATCTAAAATATATGATGCGACAACACATTTGATCAAGTGATTAAATGGTTTAAACGAAATAGAAAAAAAATTTCTTTTTTTAGCAAATTTTTCGAAAATGTAAAATTCATGTTTTAAATTGAAATTAAAAATTGTAAAACTCACTTCTCATCGCCTTTGCTTGTTTTGTAAGATTCGATGAAGAAACCCGATGAATCTTTCCTGAGTGCTGCAAAGAAGGAGAGGTTGATGAACAGGTGGGCACCTTCCAACAGGGGGAACCTCAACTCGATGTACAGCTGTTCGCACTCATCGGCCACCCTGTACTTTTCCATCTCTATCTCCTCTTTGAATATCAATTTGTAAAATAATGCAAGAACTTATAAATAAAATTGTGAAACAGTAAATGTGATAGAGGAAGTGCAAAATTATCACAGAAAGAAACAATGCAAAGTTATATTTAAACAAATTTGAAAATCAAATAAACTAACACTAACCGTTCCGATCTTTATAACGCACATCAATGCTGCTGATGTTGAGTTGTTTGGCGTGCATGACGATGAGGTCGGTGCTGTTGACGACCCCCACCTCCACGCTAGCCCAGCCTTGGAAGGTCGATCCCAGCAAATCTGGATGCACGAGGACTTCGTAAAATTTGGGCAGCAAATTTCTCGGGAGTCTCAAATAATTACAGTTTGCATTGTTTGCTGCGGTTCCATTGCTAGCGTTGATCCCTCCATGCATTTCGTTGTCGCTGGCAAGGACCGTAGCACAGGAACTGCAAGCAAATGCAACCAGGGCAATCATTTTTAATCTAATTCTCAACATAGTTTAACTGCAGAATTACTTCCTTCAATAACTTCAACGATTTTTCACGCTGGTTTAAATATTACTAATGTTTCAATTTAAACAAATTTTTAATTACAATTTTCAAACACATGCGATGTAATTTTGAACTTTACCTGAATTCAAACATCATTAAGACTATTTATTTCATCACCAAGCATATATATACAATATACATATGTCTGCAATATATATATATATATATATATATATATATATATATATATTTATAAGGAGTGGGCAAACTACGTCTAGCGAGGCTATTTTATGCGACTCTTTAAATATATATTCGGCCCTTCAAAGGTTAAATAGTTCTCAATGCGGCCCTCAACTGAAAAATGTTTGCTCACCCCTGACCTACATGGATTATTATGGATAATGTTAATATATATATTAATATTATTTTAAGTAACGCTATTATTCCAAGTATAATATAGTACGTTTGAGTAAGGTTATTGTCATGTCATTTAAAATTGACATAAAAAAAGCGATCTTTGCGGCCAAATTTTCTATATCTGTTGGGCTGACGCACTTGTTCATTCAAATTCAAACAAAAAACTGAGGCCGCGTGATATAATATACGAAAATGATAATAATGTAATCACCATGCCCATAGACGAGACCTTTCGTATTTGAAACAAGCAGTTTTTAAGGTAATGAGATCCGGAACAACTAATCTATTTTAGTAAAGCGACAAACCCTTTTCAAGCCAACCGTCAGGTCAAGTATTGCAAATACAGTCCCTACAGTCCAGTTCCTATGGGAAATGTCTTTGAAAAACACAATTTTGTAAGCCGTATCTTTGTAATCGTTAGAAGCAGTCAGAATTTTTATAATTTTATATATATATATACAGTCGGACCTCCGTACGACGAACTTGACGGTTTCAGGAAATATCTCGCTTTATTGAAATTTCGTTATATAAAATTTGTTTCGGAAAAAATTCTGTATTGCTGTATTCTGTATTATCCTATATATTTTATTCTATACATGTGACCTCGTACATTTCAGTTTAGAGAGTTATTTTCAACGTTTCATTGAAATATAATGAAGATTAGATTACATTTCAATTCTTCAGTTATGTACCATTTTAATGTTTTATTAGGAACCCATTGAAATTTAATTGTCACGTTGTTGCAATGAATTGATTGATATATATATATATTATTTAATTAATTATATTACGACTACGAACACCGATTGTTGGTGTGATATTTAAAATAGTAATCCAGATTGGTAATAATTTTAAAATTAAAATCATTGAAAATGTACTTTAGATATTTCATTTTATCGTAATTCTAATCCACACATTCATTTTTCACCAAAAACGAACGAGTTCCTTTATAATATAATTTCAATTCACGACAAACGACTTTCTACAAATTATCATTTTCGTTTGCAGAGCTACATAACAGCGATGGATCGTACGGCTCTATGGCTTAGTTGGTTAAAGCGCCTGCCTAGTAAGCAGGAGATCGTGGGTTCGAATCCCACTAGGGCCTTTTTGCATTAATTTTATGATTTTTGTGTACGAGTTAGCTTTCACAATTTTGAAACCTTCTGCACTCCGACCGTGTGAACAGCGATTTTTGTCGGTCTCTATATTTTGGAAATGAAATAACTAGTTAAACTATTTCAACTTTATTTTGGAGTTTGCATTATGTAAATTTTTCAATTGCTTACAATCATTACATGATCTTTGATATAAAGGTTCTTAATTGCATAATAATTATAACATTTTTAAGCATATGGTTAATAAGCATAATTTATTATTACTCTTTGTCAGTTGTATGCAATACGTGTTTTCTTAGTGTTTAATTTCTTTAAATAGTTCTTATAAAAGATATTAATCAATTAAAAATTCATTCTCAATCTGACGTATGATGTATCTTCTTTGCATCATGGCGCAATCATGGACATATATATCTATGGTCGCAATAAACAATTTGTGATGATGAATCGATTGTGATTGAAGTTTACTAACAAATTTGTTTATTTTAACGATTTTAAAATTATCTATCGCTTACACTTTCAACAAGAGGTTATTTAAAGTTAATTGAATGGAATTTAATTTTCTTACATACATTGTACTGTATTGTTTCTTAAAAGTAATAAATTGAAATAATTTTGATGCAGCCAATGAATCGTACTAGTACATGATTCGAAACTAGAGGTTCACTTACATGTAAATAACCGATAGGTAGATGTTAAAGTTAGGCGATGCAATACGAACTAATTTTTACAAATTTTTAAACGTGAAAATGTGAAACAATAAAAGAGAAAATTTCACAATACACAATATTTCTTTTAAAAGTTTTTAAATTTTAAAAATCCGTGTCAATCCGTGTCACTGCAGTGCAAAGCTTCGTCATCATAAAAATAAAACACTTATAATACATATTTTTTAAAAAGGCCTGGACTTTTTATTATAGGGTTTGGGAACCACGGAACAAAATGGATTTGGAAATACCCCCTCCTAGGTTTAATTGGTATCAATGTTATTGCATGGCAGAGGGCAAACAACTGAAGAAAAATCCACTAAATGTTGTGAATACCGTGTTGGCTGGCTGGCGTGGGCAGATGAATATGTATATAATATCCGTAATGTCAAAAGAAATATTTCACGTCTTTCAAGGAATAGTCCAGGTGATAAATTTGTCTCATACGGATGTCTTGAAGTTGCGCTGGGCATAAATAACTGTTCTCTGCTTTTATTTCTCTTCCTGTCATCTCTTCCACGTTTTTTCGGGCTTGGATGTGGAGGAATGGATGGCCGTGTTTAAATATTTCATCATAAGGAAACATTTATCCAATTTCACGTAGCGATATAATTCAAGAAAAAAAATTTTTTATTTCCCGGCACTAGAACATTCATCTAATTTCATAAAGTGAATTAATGCGACCAGACCACTGAATAATGCAGGTGAATTACATCGCCACGTTTGACACTTCCAGTGAAGATGTGCTTGCGGTTTTGCTGGCTGGCGTGCGTGCGTGTGGTCTGTGGTGGCTGTGGCACTTTTGTGGTATTATTTGGCGTCTGCATGTTTGCCTTCTGCTGCAATAATTTATGATTTGCGTGTAGGTACATGTTTTTCCAGTTTTATCGGCTGTGCGTGTTGTGTGTTATATCTCCACCTGTTGGGTTTGGAATGTTTACGCACATGCTGGCTCATGCAGTGTTTCGTGCTTCGGTGTCCACAGTGTCATTCCTGGATGTTTTAACGCAGCTGTATGTAGTTGATTCATTCTCATTATGAATTTCACGAGTGCACTGCTGTGTGGATTGTGTCTATAATTAAATTTCAACAAGTATGACAAAATTCATGCCACACCTCTATGCACTGTTGTTGTGCTATTTGTGTCTGTATTATGTGGTCCTGTATTACTTGTTTGTTTCACGTGTAGTGTGTATATACACATGTGAATATGTATTGTATTAACAAGGAATCCTTAGAGGCGTGTCTATGCTGCTTTTGGGCTGAAGCTTGAGGTCTTATTTAACATAGCCTAAATTTAAACTTGTTTCGGCAAAAAAACTGTTTATCAAGTTTACGTCACTGATCTCCGTATGAATATTTCACATGCGTAGGTTTTTTTAAAAATATAATTGGAGAAAAGTAAAGCTCTTAATCTTCAAAAACTCCAAAAACTGAACCCCACCCGACCTCTGCTCATATAAATAACCTGATAGATCAACCCAGTTCGAACGTTTGAAGAGGCTGAGTTATTACATCAGACAAAATGGGCAACATTTTTCAAAAAAAAAATTTATTAAGATTATTAAATTAATATTTAATAATTATTGCTAGTTCAATGTTAGCCTTAATATACTGAGTCTTGTATTTGTGGCTTGGGGTGACTAAGAATGGTGAAATTATTTTTTTTCAAATATTACTACATATATGAAATGTCTTTTTATGTTTTTACATTTTGAAACAGAAACCTGGAGACAATGGTTGAAACAAATTTATTGGAAAATGTGGCTGATGTTGCCTTAACAAGGAAAACGAACAAACAAATGTCCGATTTTAAAACAGATGTAACTAGAACTAATTAAGGATTAATTAATTAATTAATTAAATTGTTATAATTTCAATGAAAGATTACTTTGTTTCTTCTTCAGTTATATTTGACGGTTTAAATTTAACTAAAATCACGACATACACTTGAAGTCAGGTTGCATCATAAACAGTGGTTTTGCAATGAAAAGTAAGTTACATAGCATTAATATATAACCATAATTGTTAAATTAATACAATTATATCTATTATGAATTTAATATTTAATCGTTTATTCATGTTAAAACAAAAACAAAAACAAAACTACATTTAACTATTAAATTAGATTATGTTAATATTTCGAGGCAGATTAAAATCTGGCGAAACCACCTAACAACACACGGTCAAGAAGTTGAGATTGCTGCTTTCTACGTTTTGAGATATTTTCAGCGCCATCAACAATTTAAAAAATGTAATTAAATAATTAAAATAAGACATCAATTTTAGTGATAAAAATTAGAATACGAACAGCAAATATAATAAAAAGAAGAATATTTTTGTAATTATGATGATAAATATTAATCATTTTGTTTAGGAAAAAAAATATTTTTATTTTGATGAAGGGCCAAAAATTTACAAATTTGCTTGGGTGATCAAAATTAGACTGGCGACCTTTTTTCGGTCGATTTGTATTTAAAATGGCTTAATGCCTAAGAGCTAAATTTTACAGAATTTTATTTTGAAATACTGTTCACAGCAGGAGGCCCGAAGTATACCTTAAGCTCAGTCACTGGCCTGTGAACAAATTTGTAACAATTTTTGTCTGATTTTTCCACATTTTGTCTATTGAAACTAGTAAAATATGTTGAAAAATTTAAAAGAAGTCAGACTGTAGTTTTGGAGGTCCTTTCTGTGTGAAGGCCTATGTTTAAGGAGGTCCCTGGCCACTTCATTTCGTCAATATTTTATACTTAATTATCGTAATTAAATTTTTAAAAACTAATTATAAACTATACGGCCATTAATTGAAATAACAATATCAGGAACATAATCGTCACAAATAATAATAATAATACTATTACTAAATATCCTTACAGCACTTCAACTCATTTTTATCCGTTAGCAGTTGGTGTACAAAGTAATCTCAATATATATATATATATATATATATATATATATATATATATATATATATATATATATATATATATATATATATATCATACATACAACATACACATAAACAAAAACACACATGTGTAAACAACAATATACATACAGTGACGTTATTATTATTATTATTATTGTTATTATTTTACATTTCTCAAATTATTCGAAAGCCATTAAATTCAATGTCAGAAATGTATTGTAAATACACAATAAGGTAAAATGATTTGAAAATATTTCATAGGTGTGATAGTATTTGTGTTTGTTTGTTGTGTGTGTTTGTTTGTGTGTGTGTGTCTATGTGTGTGGTGTGTGTAGCGGAATAATTAAATAAAATATAAGTTTATTCACTTAATGAATAAAATTCTGAAATTCAGCTTTATTCAGTGATTGATTTTCATACATTATTTCAAATGTTTTCTTCAATTGAAAATTTAACTATATAATTTACTTTATTTCATTTTATTTATTCAATTACTCTTCAATATTTTTTTATTTTTAAATAATTCTTCTTATCCTCGAGAACTAATCTTTGGCAGATTTATTGGTTCTCGACTTCTCATTTATAATTCATTCGTCATTCTTCACATTTCAATCATTTGCTCTCTTGTTTGTTCATCTGTTTTTCTTTTACATTCAGTTTTTCAATACATTCATTTTTCATTCTCACACAAATCGCCATTTAGTTGCATTTCAGTATTTCTTGCAATTTTGGATTTTAGACTTGAAAAATTACTTGCATTCGCACTTCACTTCGATTGCAGACATCATTTTTTTCTTGTCTTTAAGATGAATTTGAGAGCGCAAATTTGAAAGAAAAGAGCCTCTGAAATATGCATTACTACCAGGGCTGTGACCGGACAGTATTTTTAAAAAACAAGGCAAGACAAAGACATTGAGAGCTGAAGACAAGAGCGAGACGAGACATTCAAAGAGCATGTCTGAGACATCCGAGGACAAGACGAAAAATTCGAGACGAAAACGAGACCATGACCGAAACCTCAAAATTTGAATAAACCAATGAAAATTAAAAAAAAAATCAGATTTCAGTTGAATTTTTATTGCCTTAATTTGAATATATGTTTATTTATATATGTATCAACATATGTTAGTATGTGTACACATGCACAATGCATATATTATACCTTTGTTTACATGTACAAAAGTACAGGGACGTATTATATACAAGATGATTTGAAGCGTGAAAAAACGATTACTTTGCTTTTACCATCTGACTGATGTGAATATCTTGATTATGTCGTAATCAAAACAGTTTAGAGCTTGTCTCGAGACGAGATGTTGTCTCGAGACGTAACAGCTCTGATTATTACAATGTAGAACCACTGCAGCAAGCAACATGCTGGACAAACATAAATAAGATGGTACAACTAAACATCCTTGCAACACTTTAATCCATTTTTCTCTAATTTTATTTTTCTCAGATCATCTATGGGAGGATGAGAACTTTCGGAAAAAACCTGAAGGTTGGAAACGAGGGATGGAGAGAATTGTCGAACTTGAGAAGAAGTGGTCAAGAAAAAGAGACCAATAAAATAGACAAATAACTCAAGGTAAATCAATGTGGTTTTAACCTTTGAGACTACCAATTGAATTTTCAAGGACGAAGAATAATGGAATGATGCGTATGCTACACGGTTATTCCATTCGTTCGTTCGTTCGTTCGTTCGTTCGTTCGTTCATTCATTCGTTCGTTCATTCATTCATTCATTCATTCATTCATTTTCATTCATTCATTCATTCATTCATTCATTCATTCATTCATTCATTCATTCATTCATTCATTTTCATTCATTCATTTTCATTCAATCATTCATTCATTTTCATTCATTTTCATTCATTCATTTTCATTCATTCATTCATTCATTCATTCATTCATTCATTCATTCATTCATTCATCCATTTTTTAATTATTCGTTTGTTTTATCATTTTCTATGTGTTCAAATTAAAATTATTCTTCCATTTGTACTTTGGATATTTTTTCTTTCATTTCTCTCTCGTTCACTCAATCATACGTTTGGAAAATCATCAGCTTGGAGTGTTTGCCGTGTGACGACGACGACAACGACGATGATGATGATGGCTGGGGAGGCGGGGGAGGCGGGGGAGGGGGTGTTGATAGTGATGTTGGGTGAAACGGCGGTGATGATAATGATGCTGGTGGGTTTGGTAGCAGTGACGTGTGTTTGAGACAGGGTATTATCGGCTGTTGTTGTTGTTGTTGTGGTAGTTGTTGGATTGTTGCCGATGATGTTGTGGTTGACGATGTCCTTGACTGGCCGATGGATGATAGTGGATTGAAGTTTTGTTGTTGTTGTTTATTGTTATTGACATTTTTTGTTGTTGTTGTTGTTGATGACAATGTTGAAATCACTAAAATTACTGTTGTTGAAATTTTCAATGTCGCTAAGATTGTTGTTGATGTTGTTTGAGAATACGGCGTCCCGTATCACCATCGGAGTCGTTGAAAGTTGATCAGCTTGTTTCGTTGCGTTTGTTGTTAATAGAGGTGCAGTTGTTGTTGTTGTTGTTGTTGACGATTTTGTGTTGAATGTGTAGGTCGTGTAATTGTCACTGGTTAGCAGACGATACTCATAGGTGTGCGGTGCTTGCATGACACTGGGTTGTTGTTGTTGTTGTTGTTGTTGCTGATACAATTGTTGAGGTTGTTGCATGCTGTATCGTTGTTGTTGTTGTTGGAGAGGAATGTGTTGTTGTTGTGGCTGCAAGTTGCGCGCGCAACTGTTCTTGAAGAAGCAGTATGATTCTTGATTGTTGTTGATGTTGGCGTTGTATGTCTCGTCAGAATCCTTCTGCATGCGTTTCACAAGAGAAGCCTTATGCCTGTAAGCGTGTTGTGTGTGTTGTGATGTCTGTTGGTGTGGTTGTGTGTGTTTGTTGGCGTGTGTTGTTATGTCTGTTAGTGTTGTTGTGTGTGTTTGTTAGTGTGTTGCTGTGTGTTGTTGGTGTGTTGCTGTGTTTGTTGGTGTGTTGTACTGTGCTACTGTTGTTTACAATCTCAGTTCAAAAAATTGGTTTACCATCTTGCTTCAAATCTATTTTTTTACCAATCTATTCTAAATGCATTTTTAAATTTTCCTAATTTTTTCTAAATTTATAATAAGTGACGTTAATTGCTTTTATGTTAAATACTTTCTTTGGTCTCTGCATTACACTTTGTTTTTGGTCAGATTAACAGTTACCATTTTTGCTTGCAGAAGGGGACGAAGCAAAGATATTTGTTTGCCAGACAGGTTTAACTTTTGCCGGCTAATCAACTAATTCAGCAGTTTGAATTTTCAACTTTCAGGTGCAACACCGTAATTAACTTGTAATTCATCTGTTCATCCATCTAAATCCATTTTTTCGTCCATCCAAGCATCTATGTACTTATCCATGCATTCATCCAAGCATCCATAGCAAGCATTCATGCATTTATGCATTCATCCAGGCATGAATATTTTTGATCAAAAGCGGGAAAGTAAAAACAAAAATAATTCCAAAGGAATGCCTAAACACGCACATGTCAAAGCGTAAACCGGTCTAAATGACGTCATCACAAATATCACGCATAACAAATTTTCGCATTTTAAGCGAGTGCACTGCTAGTCGAATTTGTTCGGTGGTTGTTTTGTTGTTGTTTTGTTGTTGTTCGGTGGTTGTTTGGTTGTTGTTTGGATGCTGTTCGGTGGTTGTTTTGTTGTTGTTTGGTTGTTGTTCTGGGTGTTGTCAGGTATTTCTAGAGTTTGGTTGTCAATAGTTGGATGAGTTTGTTGGTTGAAGTTTTTTGAACGTTTTAAAATTTATCATGTCATTTTTAACGTGTGTTATTGCCTGTGTTTGGTTCTTTTTAGATTTGGTTTGTTTTGTCTCGTGCTTTATGTGGCTGTTTTTTTTATGATCAGTAACTTTTTGATAATTTTCAGCTATAAATGCTGGTTGTTTTAACTTAAGATTCACTCACCCGTGTCTCTTGACATCAGCATAATTTATTTTAATAAATTCATTAACAATTTTAAGGCATGTTAATTAACCAGACAACATTTTAACAACTCAATTCCCCTGCAGTTCGGCATTTCAGGAACCGCTGGACACCGAATATCTTCTGTAACCCTGTAGCCCGAGTGTGCATACGTGCGGAATAAAAAATTTCAAACGTGAACACGCTCCATTGAAGATTTCTTTGCATTCATAACATCATTAAGAACAATAGTGCTCCACACAAGAGTACAGCTCTCTTAACGGTTCAATCAACTGCATATTTTGTGGCTACAATGTTTGACTGCATTTTTCTGCTAGACAGTTTTTGAACGAGCTTAATTGCCTTCACCAGCCAACTTCATTTAAGAAGTTTAACAGCACAAACAACATCATCTGCTATTTAAATAAGGTTTAGAATGTGCAAAAAACAACAACACTCCTGAAACAAGTAGACACACACTCACACATACACACTCACACACACACACACTCACACATACACACTCACACACACACACTCACACACTCACACACACACAATAACACACACACGGACGATGTGGTAGGCAATTAAGAAAGGAAATATCATGAAGGTACGTGAGGCGTGTAACATTTAAACCGGGCGATGGAGCGTGTGATGGTCTCCATTGCATATCTATCTTTTCTTCCTTTGCGTGTTAGGATTTCTCGTGTTATTTGTTGTACTGTTATTAGTGCCTTATTTGCTGCTGCTGTTGTTACTTCTACTACTACAACAACAACAACTACTACTACTACTACTCTACTACTACTACTACTACTACAGCTACTACTACTACTACTACTATTACTACTACTAATACTACTACTACTACTACTAATACTACTACTACTACTAATACTACTACTACTACTACTACTACTACTACTACTACTACTACTACTACTACTTCTGCTGCCACTATTACTACTACTGTTAATTCTAATTATACTATAATATTTTTTTTAATTATTTTCAGGCACGAGCAATAGTATTTTATATCTTAAAAAACTTGAAAAAAAAAAACATTTTGTGTAGAAGAACTTTTATAAAAATTCATCAAAGATTTCAAGTCGGTAGTGCAAAAATTATAAAACCCTGAAAAAGTTGAATCAACTCAGACGCAAGTAGCGAGCGAGATATTTATTCTAAATTTCAATTACAACTGTCCCTTTGGGTATATCACCAGTTCCTAAATCCCAAATACAAACGGAGTCACCAAGTCGGATAATTCGTAACTGACCTGTATAGATTATGAAAAAGGATGGTAGAGAGAAAGTGACAATGAATGCGAAAGGTACATGGAAGCATATTTTTGTTATAAAATAGCAGTATACATTTCTAGGCCGAAAACATTTGACAAATCTAAGTAGGGTATGAATAAGAATTGAACTATAGTTTATTTTTCAAATTATTTTATTGGCTGAACATGAAAAGATGCGGCTTATAGGTTGTGAGGTTATCAGTTTTTGGTTTAAAAAAATTTTATACATTAAAGTAAAGATGAATGGGAACTGAACAAAAGACCGTTGTTCGAATTTATTTGATTGGTTGGTTGACACCTACGTATTGTGTGTGTGTGTGTGTGTGTGTGTGTGTGTGTGTGAGTGTGTGACAATGAGTTGAGAATAAAAAATCATTCAAAAAAGTTATTTTTAAGAAAGGATGCCAAATGGTAATTATGTAAATTAAAAAAAAATTGAAATTTTTACATCTTTTTCGGTTATTTTAATGTCTATTTAAAAACAACCTCATCCGGAATGTGTACATGGAATGGGAGCATTGGCGAATCCGAATTAGAACGGAGTGAAGGTGACTTCACAATTCGAGAGTTGACGTTTTTTTCATTTGCTAATTTTCGTTTCGATAAACTGTGCAATGAGATGGTTTTCAAACTTCTACATTTTATGATCATTCTTTCTGATTCGCTGCCTACTTTATTGTAAACTTATTTTATTATGTATATAATATTATTCTGTTGTATTTATCTATTTATTATATTACACATTTTATTATATCCTAGATGGAAACTTCATTAATTTCTCATTTCGGGATCTGGTGGGATTCCTTCCCTATGGCCTGCCACTCTATTGGTGGATCCGAGAATAGTAATGTAAGATCATGGAACCCCGATAAACTATTTAATAAAAAAAAATAATTAGAATGCTAGTTTGAAAATTTATTTCACGTTAGTTAAATTGGAGAAAATTATTTCCTTGGCTGGAAAGAATGGGTAGAGCAAGTTTAGATGTTGCGGTTGTCATTAATTCCAATGTGATGGGAGAATTTAGAAAAGTGGGTGAAACTTTTAAAAATTACGAAAAAAAAATCGTCCTGGGTCGAAATCATCTTCAATTTTACTTTACAGTCATCACGTTTTTCGTCATCATCGCCATCAATGTTATACATCACCATCATCGTCGTCGTTGTCATCATCTTCGTCATCATCATCAGTGTTATGTTATAATCATCTACTGTATGGTCATCTATGCCACTCTCCTATTAAAATTGAACACTCGTCAAAATAGTCCTGATCATAATTATCATCATCATCCGCATCATCACCACACCACTTCTGTATCAAAATCACCCCCACAACCACCACCACCACCACCTTCACCCCTTTCACAGTCTCCACAAACACATACATACACACACTTACACACACACGCACACGCATACACGCATCTCATCTCATCTCAGACAACTCGCATAAATTTTAATTGTTCTGCAAATGTTGGTAGTTAAGTGTAAGGAGGACAATCGCCCACACTGAGATCAACCATCTACTAAACGTGAATTAATACATGGTGTTGAACACAAACACACACACACGCATACACGCACACACACGCACGCACACATTCACACGCATATACACATTCACACACACACTCACACACGCACACACACGCACACAATTGTTACAACTATACATATTTGAACCCATCAACAAATATTCAATATTTTGAATTATTGGCAATCATACGTGAACTTTTAGAAATAATAACCCACATTATGTCATCGTGCAGTGGCGTTCATGATAAATGACACACACACACGCGCACAAAAAAAACACACGTTATTATTATAATTATAGAAAAACACATACACACAAACACACATAAATATTAACACATATCAAACACACACACATACCATGGCCTACTTATTAAGTTAAGCTATTTCACAAAACACAAATTTTTTAAGATTCTGATGGAGTTAACGTTTACCATGGGTGATGATGATGATGATGATAATGATGATGATGATGATAATGATGATGACGACGATGATGTTAAAGATGAGGATGATGATGATGTCATTGATGATGATGATGATGTTAAAAATGTGGATGATGATGATGATAATGATGATGATGGTCATGACCGGTATGATAATGATGATCGTCAGCGCCCATCTTGGTCATGGTATGAATTGTCTGATTGAAGGAACAAACATGATGAATTGACGAGTAAGTGATGTCATCCAGGCGGTCAATGATAGAAAGAACGAATGAACAAATGAATGGATGAGTGAGTGAGCGAATGAATGAATGAAGAGTGAATGAATGATTGAATAAAGGAATGGCTATGGCGTGATCATCATCATCGTCATCGTAATCGTCGTCATCATCATCATTCTCATCAGTTTCAAACTTATCATTTTGATTAGAACTCGTTGTTATTATTATAATTTTTATTATTATGATTCAAAAGATAATAATAATAATATTAATTATTATTATTTTTATATTATAAAGAAAATAATAATATTATTAATTATTATTATTATCTTTATATTATAAAGATAATAATAATACTAATAATTATTATTATTATCAATCATCATCAGCAGCACCACGTATCCATCCCTTTCATCATGGAGATGAATTGTTTGAAACATTGAAAGAAAGTTCTTTTTCCAGTTTTGCAATTAATTTGTTTTTGTGCGTGCGTGAGTATGTAGGAATGTATGTGTATCTGTATATGTGTGTATGTAAGAATGTATGTGTGTCTTGCCTTTGTGTATCTGTGTATGTAGGAATATATGTGAGTCTTGTGTGTGTGTGTGTGTGTTTGTGTGTGTGTGTGTTTTATATCTTACATGGAGCATGTATGTGAGTACTAAATTTTCTAACTCTGATTGTTACTGGTTTTGTACGAATAAAAATTGTACTTTAAAATATTTTTCTACCTTTTTTAAAAAACTTTTTGAATTAATTTAAAAAATTGTTCTATAGATGTTTGTAAAATAATTTAATAATAATAATTTCCTGTAGACCGATAAAAATAATTTAGTTTTTAAAATGTTTGAGCAAGTTAGCTCAGTAGGTAGAAGTCTGGCGTTGTTGTTGCGCGGTGGCATGGTTTGAATACTGTCCGTCCGAAACTCAGACATGTGTGTGTGTGTGTTTGTGTGTCTATATTTGTGTGTGTATGTGTGTGTGAGAGTGCGTGTAGTGTTGTGTGTGTATGTGTGTGAGAGTGCGCGTGTGTGTGTGCGTGAAGTATTGACTGGATAGTGTACAGCAATTGTGGCATGAAATTTAAAGTATAAGTAGAGAATATGTGAACAGTTGTGTGTCAAAATTGTATGCTAATAATGTGGCTAATGAGATTCATGTGAGTGTGCCAGACGGAAGTCTTCCAGTTAAAATATCAATTCAGGTGTCTCCCGTCCGTCCTCATGTAAATACTTCTTTTAATTCATGGAAATGAATTTTTGTATTTAATTAATTTTAATTTGTGCCAAGTTTTATTTGCAGTCTCGCCATCATTTTCAGGTATTTGGATTGTTTGAATGAATGGTATGCCTCACATCAGAGCCAACAATATATATATACTCCTCAATGTTTTTGCTGTGGGATAACAATTTTCCAAATATGTTTATTTATAAAAATGTTTTTAAACAACTAGATTTTTGTTTCAAATTTATCTCATTTTTAATATTTTATTGATTTACGTGTAGGATACTAACAGAAAATTATTTGGCAACTGGCCAAAGAAATAGACCTCTTCGGTGATTTAAAATGGAGCTATCAAATAAAAACACAAACGAAGTTATGTTAAATAG